ATTTTCATGCCTTTTTGGTCACACCCTGTTTAGTATCCAAGCACTTGAAAACCCAGGCAAGAAGGATTTTAGTTGCCATCTCAATGCATACTTACTGGTCCAGGTTTGAATGTAAGTTGATCCAATCTGTATATTGTGTAAACATGCTCTGAATTCACAAAACTTGTTTACTAAAATGTTAGGTATATTGGCCTTCTGAAAACTCTCAGAAGTATATATCATATTTTCGCCTTGTTTCTGTTATCCTTTGGGGAGACAGCATAGAAATATAAGTTAGTTTTAACATCATTGACCAAGCATTGAGGTAAGAAATCTCTCAGTTAAATGAGGTTTGAAATCCCAAACCAGGCAGTTACATCAACTAGTGGGGTTTCTCGAGAACTAATGCATCTTACTGTTCGACAGTTTGGGCATGTTCACGAACTCCACGATTCAGATGATGCCAGTCCTGCTACTGTCCCAAGTTCGTGTTCACATAGCTCACAAAATTAAAGCATGCTAGTTCCAGTAATTGGAGCAGTTATCTGAATTCTCCTCCATGTGGTAATGATACTTTTTTTCTACAAATTTTTCCGGGTTCAGCATTCTCAAATGAAGTGTCCTGATGAACAATGAACAATCTTTCTAAATATTTATGCAATAAAACTAAGAAAGTGGTGGTGGTTGATTTTAACCACTATGCGTTTCCTTATAATTACATGCAGTAGATATGCTGGGAGAGTCTCCGTTAAATCACTTTCATAATGGCAATGTTAACATTAGGATAATTAGGCATGCTAGCTAAATAATGGGCTAGTTTGTATTCCTTGTGTAATGCTATTATTGCTGTCTTGATGAGTGAAGGCAGTCATAGGAAGGAAATGCTTTTACGTTGTATTTTGGTTTTTGCTTGTATGTGAACAGAAATTAAGGGTTGTGGGTGGAAAAAAATATCTTTGGGGTTTTATGTTTTAAACTGATAAAAATCTTTAGATGAAATATATTTTGTGGTGCAAAATGGTGAAGCTGCCCGATTTAGATTATTTGATATGATGTATAGCAATTATTCAAAAACGCCAGATACCTGACTTATTTGCCTCTTTTATTCCAAGAATGTATCTTTCGGCAAGTCACTTGTCATTTTTTGCAGGCAATTGTAACAAAACACTGCTTTGGGATATAATGTAATTTTTTTATAATTTAAATGAGTTATTGTTATAGTTTATGCTTTTGCTGAATGGGAGAAAAATTTGGGTCTTTGTGCATTGAGTATCTATTAGGGTTTAAAGTAAATGTGGAAGTAGGGTGGATGTGGGGGGGGGGGTAAGAACATTTCTTAAGAATAAGACACGTCATTTTTACTCACCTTAAATAAAAAAATTAATTAATATAAAAATATATATACATGTTATTGTATACAGTATGCACGTAATTGTAGGTACATTTTGCCATAGTTATCCTAATAATTCATGAAATATGCACAAGTATAAAGTCATCAGGCTGCCAAGACCAGAGTTTGAGATAATATGAAAAATGTTTAGTATTTTCTCTGTGGAGTTTTACGCAAAGGTCATCTCATGCGAGCAGTCCCTCGCGGAGAGTTTAGAATAATACAGTCCCAGAATTTATTGATCAGAAATGATAAAAATTTGAGCTGATGAATGTCAAATCAATTTATATATTTCTCCTTTTGCTATGAAATTAGAACTCTCTCTCTCTCTCTCTCTCTCTCTCATGCACACACTTTTGCATGGTTGCGAACAGACAAACCGTGCTTTATAAGCATTTCAATTGAAATTACAGCTCTCTGAGCTTAGAGCTCTCCGTTATTGCAGGACATTTGTTGGATTAATCATTCGATAATCTTTCCCTGAATAGTAAATCATCTCTCCTACCATGTCTTTGGCCTGTCTTTCCCTGTGACAACTTATTTAGGGATTACAAATGTGAAATCGATGCAAATAACATTGTATCAATATAGCTATTAAATCACCCATAAATGGATTACGTAGAATTTGATGTTATAGAAAGCACTGCAGAGAAATGCCATCATCAGATATTATTGCAGGATTGTTCTCTTCTCCCATCTTTGAGAGAGAGAGAGAGATGAATTGCTATTGTATTTTTCACTAAGATTTTTGGTTTAATTATTTGTACGTATAGTTGCACAACATTTTATGTAGTAATATCTGATAACAATCCTTTGTATATATATATTTATGTCTTGGAACATTAAGCAGCTTTTATTCCCTAACTAGAATGAGCATATTGAATAATATTATCACTGAATTTTTCAGGCATGTCTAACTATCAAGTGCAATTGTGATGATGTTCCACACGTCGAGCAATTATCTGCACAACCATGTAGCTATATTTTGTATTTTGACAAATTATTAACTACCTTATTATGCATGTGGACATGGGCAGGCAAGCAAATGTACACATATACAGAGTGTAAGTGTGCGTGTGCATGTGCCTGCACATGCATGCATGCGTGCACACACACGCAAGCACATAAGGAGATGAGAGAGGAAAAGAGGTCTCGTCTCCCTCATATAAACTAGTCTATGCCTATAAACCTGCATGTATTTGGCAGCACTAGCAAAAGAGCAGTAGCTGTTGTAGAGATAATGACTTCAGCAGTATTATTACAAACTTAGGGACCTGGAGAGAGCGTATTGATTGGCTTTCCACCCACGCACTATCAAAACCAGCATGACGACTGATTTAGTTTCCAAATGAAACTGAATTAGCATCTTTTGCAGTGGCAGTTTTGCAGAAAGGGTGTGTTTGAGTGTGTTTTAGTGGGGAGTTTGTACAGCTAATGACGCATCTGTCCATGAAGAAGTGAGGGATTTGCAGAAGTATGGTGTAGTATGTATGTTATTGTTATATGAAACATATTTAAAAGGATTACTTTAGCAAATACATTGTAGGGACTTCAATTTTACGACAAGTTATTTTATTGGCAAGCTAGAAATATATGGATTTTTCCAGTCTGGTAAGTAAATATTACAATCAAGGTAGCAAATTTTTTTTTTTCTGTTGGAACAATGAAAATATAGAGATTTGGTCTGTCACTAATTGAGGTGACAGGTGTGAAGAGCGTGCAGTGATACAAACTGGTATAATTCTTTTATTAAAATACTATACGTTTTCTTACACCAGATTGAAGACGGTGTCACTAGATTGCCCGATTGACAAAAAACAGTGGAGATTGGTTAATCTTAATAAGCATGAACTTTTGAAAATTTGTGCCAAATATAGCCTAAGAAATAATGTTACTATGAAGAATATATTTAGTATTAGGCTGCAATCAAGTTAAGTTCAATATTTTGTATCGTGCTGTTTTAACTTCATTTTCAACCATATTTGAGTCTGTTACTACCAGTGTGTTTATGTATGTGTTTTAAAAGATCTGTTATTATTTCATATGTTACAATCTCTCTCCCCCCCCCCCCCCCCCCAATAACAATATTAATGAGTCTGAAGTATTTTTTTTTTCAAAATGAAGCAGTTTATGATTGATAAACATGAATAATAATGCATCAATTAAGGTCCCCTAACACCCCCCTCCACTCCCTTCTGGCTTCCTCAAACCCTTTATACCTGAATTCCTTTTAGTTACACGTGAACCAGCACTGTTTCCCTGTAACAAACATAAACCATTTCACTAGTTTCTTACACCACTCAAGTAAAGTTCACATGCCAAAGGACAAACCAAATTAATCACTCCGTCAATCAATAATCTGTTTCAAAACTGCACCTATTTCAAATTTCTGGTCAGAAACTTGACCTATTTATCTGTCCCCCTATTTGTAAAAGTACGCCAGATGATTTGGTTGTATATAATGCATTACTGCTGCATGTACAATAGAAGAAAAAAAAACATTCAAATGAGAGTGGGCCGAAATAACCAAGGGTGACTTGTATATAGCACTGGAAAAAAAAAAAAAAAGCAGAAAATATCTGTTCAGATATTTTTTTTTCGGGAATTAAGAGAACGTTCCCTTTTGGTATTTCTTTAAATTATTTAATTTGAAGAAATTATTTGGTTGGGTTTAGTTTAATTTAAACTTATTATTTTTGGATCAAAGGATGAAATTTGAGTAATAGATCACTGGTAAATCAATTTCAATTTGGTCATCTGGTCATTTTTAATGAGATTTTGACCCATTGGCAGCTGGTTTCATATTGCAGAGGGAAGAAACACCCTGGCAGTGCTGCTTTAAGCATGTTCTCTGAAATAAGACAATTCATAGGAGACTAAATGGTAAAAACAATGACCTTTCTTTATAGATCTGCTTTCTAGCTGGTATTGGTTCTCCTATTCCCATGTACTTTAGATAAAACGGTGACATATTTCTATTTTAAAACATGACCTGTTTTTCAGTCAAGGTTGCCTAGGCAACAATGTACAACTTCAACCTTTGTCCCGTTACCCATTTGATTTTTATGATTTGCCAGGGTGAAATGTGAGAATTGTGGGGTTTCTTTTGCTTTTAAAGCTGATGATAATACAACGTAGGCGTAAATTTAGACAACAGCAGGGAAGAGGATCGAGTTGCCATTAAATTACTCCCACTCTGGTTCACATTTCCTCCTTTTATATCAATATCCAATGATGTTTAATGTCCTTTGTTTTTTGCATATTTCCTGATGTGTTTAGCAGGTTACTAAGATCAAAATGTGAAGGAAGATTATGGTAGATGTCAACAAAAAATGCTAGTTACACGAGGCTTTGTTTTTGATTGGATCACAATTTTTTTTGTCTTTATTATTTAGCTATTATGGTTCTGGTAGGTTTAACGGGAAATTGTACTGACCTTGGGTAAATGCATTGTGTATCATTATTTTTCTTACCCAAAATAGATTAATTTTTGTCGTCTCTCATTATGGAAATGTGAACTGACCTCGTAATTACCTTGTTACAGTTGAAGAGAGGAATTATAGGACACACAATTTATTGCCTCTTTTTCTGGTGATTTTTCTCCATTTTTGTTTTTTATAGTATAGTTGATTTGAAGAACTTGTGCCAAAGTAAGAATGATGATAGTGATAACAATAGCAGCAGTGTATTTAAAAATACAGCATTACACGTCTCAAGTGAAACAACAAGGGTATGCTGTAGTGTAGAGGTTTGTTTCAAGTTATGTTTGAAACTCGCTGATTTCTACTTCATTTAAAGGGAAAGTCTGTGTAAATAGGCTCCTAAAAATTAGATGTTTTACAAGAGAAGCTGTAATTTTGAGCTAAGGACCCCCCCCCCCCAAAAAATGTCTAGCTAATTTCCATGTATCTCTTCTGAAATATATATTTTAACTCAGCACTACAAAAATATAGTTAAGAATTCTCGGGTGTCAGATCAACCCTCAGTATCATTTTTTTCAAAAGGAAGTTAAAGGTTTATGATATGGATTTCACGTCATTATTGACAGCCTGATAATTGGACCAATCAGGTATCAGTTCTGATGAAGGTATGGTAATCAGTCCTAAATTTCGAACATTTTTGCTAGTGGTTTGACATTTTTTGATTTATTGTATTAAGTTTTTTTACAAGACTCTGAAATGTACCCCACCCACATTCCACATAGACCATCATTTTCAAGAATCATTGACAAATTATTACTTTAAAAAAGTACACTGTAATTTACTTAGTTTGAATTCAGCATATGATTACCATAGTTGAATCTGATTGGTGAATTTCAAGACATTCCAAAGTTGAAGTTCTGCCCACTGGGGTAGGTTTGAATGTGAGGCAAGTGTGATAATAGAAGATAAAAGCAGGCTGAGGTGAACACTTGCTGAAGGTATTTAAGGCAGTGAAAAGTACCTTGATATAGAATGATACGCTTTACTCAAATCGTGAAGACAGTGACTGTGTCTCAGTTGGGAACCAAGGTCTGGTGACACCTGTTGAAGACTCCTGTCTTAACCAGGGCCACAGTTACACATCTACTAGTAGGGAATAAATATAACAAAGGTAGGTTTGTATCTGAATCACATAAGATATGTTTTGGGTCATCCTTTTTCCCCTTGATGACATATTTTCTCATCATTGGAAATTTTTACATCTGATTTTTACATTTGGTTTGAGGCTTAAACATTGGAGTAATTGTGCATTGTCTTTCACCTTTTGATAGAATAGGGGGAATTGAATTTGTGTTGTAAAGAGGAAATTATTTTGAATTTTTGCCAATTTTTAAATAAAGGAGTCTGTGTTTGTGAGGTGAAATATAGAGTAGGACCTATTGGCGAGTTTGCTGAAAGGATAGCTCAGGTGGCAGTGGGGTAGGATTTGGTGAGATGGGGGGTGAGGGGGGGGATGGGTGTTTTATTAATCAAGACTGGATCGTTATGTACTGAAATATGCCTTGGTGCACTCGGGTCTCCCAAGATAACATTCTGATTAGTCTAAATAATACGTAAAGATGATTTTAGTAGAGAAGCTTGTTCTTGTCATTATTTTGATCATTATGTAATCTACAGAATGTTATAGGAAATTTTGCTGTGGTGTTATATTCTAGAACAATCTAGCTGGAGCTTATATTTGAAATCATGTGCTGGTGGTATGCTCATTTTGCTGTTCTATGATTTTCGTTTTCCATTTCATTTATGATGCTTAAGTTTTGCTGTTACATATTGTATCCTAGTATTTATGGCAGTGGGAGATTACCCTTCTAGGAATTTTTGTATGACATTGTTCTGGCTAGGTTATCCTGCAAAGCTCCAAATGGGAGAAAATGAATCATTCAATATCTGGGTCATGTTACAAATGCATAGAAATTATGAATATTTTAATAGATGATGGATAAATGCACTACCATAATGAGAGCTAGCTGATGTATGCAGGCGGCAATTTGTAGTAGGTGTTCATTCCTCCCTCCCTCCCTCTCTCTCTCTTTCTCTATCTCTCTCTCTCATATGTAATTCTGGTGCTTGTTGTACACAGGAAACAAAGCATTTTCTTTTTAATAAATGTCAGCATTAAAAGAAATCACACACTTCTCTGTCCTGAGACAAATTAACTCTTGTCAGTTGTTGGCAAGCAGAAGAAAGATTATGTAGATGAGTTTGGCAGTTTGGCTGTTACATTGTCATTTCACCATTGCAGAGAAAACGTCACTGCCTCGGATGTCTTTACCCCAGATTAACTGAAATTCAATGCAGTCACATTTGATACATATTAAATTAAGTGGAGGAGGCCTCCTTTTGAATGATCTGCGGGTACTTGGTAATAATTGATGAAGGCCAGTTTCTAAATACAGTTTTGAGGGGGAGTCAGGCTTTTGTGTCATGTGGAACATGGATGTTGCAACAAGAACAGATAAGGGAATGGATAGTTTTGTTTTATTGTAAGGATATTTTTATGTTGGTTTCATTTCACTCTGGTGCTGGACATTCTATTTTTGTTACAAAATGGCAAAATATGTATAATTTTTGGCAAATTTATTTTTGATTTGGTTCAATCTCATAATTAGGTTGAAATTATCCAGCAGAAAAACAATTAAAGGAAGAAAAAAGAAAATATATATACTCAAGTTAGCAGGGTTAGTAAAAATAACTGGCCAGTAAAATACCTTTTTAAATGCTGGATAGAGAATGATTTCAAGAACTACAACAAGCAAGATATGTGCGAATGTGCTTACACAACATTATGCACAATGTACACGCATTTTAACTGGGTTCTGTGCATGCATACACTCCATTGTGTAATGCATCCAAGTTTATATTTATATGAATGCACATGTTAATGTACGCTCAAATCTTTGTGGCTTTTAGTTTTATAGCAATTGTGTGAGTGTGTGGGCACGCACGGTGTAGATGGACAGATAGACTGACAAACAGATGGACAGTTGCATATGTGTAACTCTTAAAGATAATACAATAATGCATTCCATCATCTGTAGTGAATTATTTATTTTGCAGAGCCTTGAAACTAGGGAGCAGTGCCTACAAGACAATTTGACCTGGCTTCAACTTCTCTAGAAGAAAATCAGTAAAATACTATTATTATACAGTGATTTGAAACCAGGATTTTAAATACTTAGGTAACTCTAAGATTTTTTCATCATTTAGTGAATTAAATGACAGTTTTCATCAGATCATTTTGTAAAAACTGTTTAAAAATAACTTCCACTGTGTATGAGTTTTAATGTTTGAAGAGGCGAAAATGCAGTAGATATTTTATATAGAATTACTAATTGCAACAAATTTTGTACAGGCTTAAGTTTTATTTTGGTTGGTAGGCATTTACAAGTTTTTATCAGCAAAATTTGTTCATTGTATAAAAAGTTATTTCAAGACTCTAATGGGAAGTTCCCACTTTTTACTTCCAGTGTTGGTTTCTTAATGACAACATGATAACAGTGAATTCCATCCTCTTTGATGTGAAGACAAAGTATCCATGACAACCAAGACAGCATTGTAACCATAGCAACTGTTGCCAAGGCATCACCATGACATTCCAGTGGCAAAAGTTGTCCCCTTCCGAGTTTCATCAACTCCAGGAGTATTCTTCATGTAAGTTCAAGAATGGCAAGTGAGCTTTTAGACAATCCTTGAGGATTGCTTATGAAGGTGTGATGATTATAGTGACAATTATACTGTCATTATTATGCTTTTCTTTTTGATACCTACCCTTTGACCTTTACCTTCCTTTACTACCCTCACCCCCTCCCTTCCCTTACTCTGCCTAGCTCCCACTGTTTAAAAAAAAACATAGTTTACCCCCACACATTCTAGATGGCACCAGCAATTAAATTGGACCAGTAAACTCGGCACAGTTGGCAGTGAAAGCAGACATCTTAGTAAACGAATCCGTGCTAATGACATGATTATTGCGCACTCTAATAGTGGCTATTGATTGGTAGTCCACTGTGTGCTGTGCCCTACCGCTGCTCAGGGGTTCCTAAGTCAGAATTGATTACCTAGAGGCTTGAAAGCTGTAGCTATGGTAATTCTTCATGGATTTCAAAAACCTTGCCTTCATCCCTTGTTATTGTTTTTATTTTTTTTTTTAAGTCTGATTTGAAGTAACTTACAGAAATAATGCTTTATAAGATTAAACCTGATTGGTGTTTGAAAAATTTTTTTATGACCAAAATTTAGTGTGTTGTAAATCCATCTTTATTGCAGAGCAGTTCGGTTTATTGGTCTTATTCAGTTTTAGAGAATAATCATCATAGGTTGTCTCAGGAGATCTTAAAGTAGTATTTAGGGATTTGTGAATAGTGGGATGGAAATTAATATAAAATCCTTATTATATACAGCAGGCTGTGGGATGCGTTTACCCAGAGTGACAATTATGATCATTATATACAGACTGTGTATTTGAAGCTTATATTTTTTGTGGGACTAATTTGTGATTTGAAGGAAGAAAGAGAAAAAAACATTACCTGCCATATACTCAAAATGGGGGAGGATATGCAGTAAAACTGGACTGGAGTTATACTTACGTGCTTCATTAGGGTATTCCTATTCCTGCCCCCTCCCCCTCTCTCTCTCTCTCTCTCTCTCTCTCTCTCTCTCTCACTCACTCACTCACTGGTTGCCAAGACCAGATGTAATAACCATGTAACTGTTTCGTCCAGAACCTGTTGGTGACACGCATCTTCAAATTAACACCAGTTTTAATAACCCATCGACATGCTAAGGTAGATACTTTGATGCAAGCATGGAGCTGAATTTGGAACAAGGTGTCTATTTCTGTCGGAGATTCACTCTAAATATAGACTGATATAGATGAGTCCCGGTAAAAATAGTTGTCCCTGCCTAAATTTAGCTGTCATAGGTTTCACGTATTTCAGTGTCACCAATAACAGTTGCGTGACAGTGGTGCAAGGCTGCAGTGACAGCTAAGTATAGATGCCAGTGACGTCAAGGATTGATTTGTGGTGACAGTAGAAATAATTGATTTACTTATTAGCTACGGATTATAAATCACTAGGCGGTCTTCCATGTGGGTTTTTTTTTATAACAGGTATATAAAATCAGTTTTTCTATTTTTATCTTTTTTAAAGTTCACCTGGTATGAGGGTTTACTTTTCTTCTTTTTATTTTAACAGAAAAAGAAAAGAAAAGGCATCAGTACAAATGCCAAGAGGATTACGATCATTTTCAGAGAAAAAAAGGGATACCAAAGAGGATTATCATCATTTGCAATATACTGTGTTGAAAGTGGCAAGTTAGTCCATTGAAATATGCCAGTATTTTTTAGAATATGTTACCCTATACACGATATGCTGCTATGGTAGTTAGAAATATCCGTCAGTTTCGGTCTGTTGCCATACTGAAACATCACAATATATTTCTGAACTTCTTTAATCATATCAACAGGGACTTATTACTAGGGCTTCTAATTTTAATCATTTACTATCAGAACTCTTCATTATGGAAAAAAGGTTAACACATTTTGATTGAACATTCACAGTGTTAGATACAAAGTTATGGAATACTTTACCTGCAAATGATTTGGAATTTTTTTTAAAATTTCAAATAAACTTACATTTTTAATTGGTTTATAGTAATTGATATGGTAAAAAAAACATCTAGCTGATAGTCAAACACATAACAGGTAAAGCTGCCAGGTAAAAAAATTTACTACTGTATCGTTAATTAACCTGACCATCAATGTTTAATACCGATTTTACACCTTTCCAGATGTGTTAATTGGTTTCCAGTTTTATCTTGCTATTTGACCAGTTGGTCACTATAAAAATAGCCTTACTTGTTAAGATAATGAGTGTGGACTAAAGATGGGTATCTGGGATAGTTGTCGAAATTGATTTTAAGTTACTGTCTTTTGAAGGAGTTACTGTAATTTCAAGTGAAAGCTGATTTCATCAGAAGGATGTCATTTAAGATAAATCATAATGTTTTCACACAGCTTTACACTGCTGCTTAGATTAATATCAATTTGAATTGATAGTTGGTGCTAGAAAAAATTCGCTATCTGAAAATGGTTCTTACATTTTCAGGATTTTTTGAGGGGTCCACTTTCATCACTGCAAAATCAAAAACTGTACTTTTGCTGGGTTAGAGTTGACAAGGAAAAATGAATCGCATCTGCTAATATTTTTTTTCCAAGCACAGTTAAAATTTTGTACATTTATTGATATATGTGAAACTATTGATCTGTTTGTTTAGTAATTTTGACTATAAAAAACAAAAATACAAATAACTGATTTTTTTCCTATCAAAAAGAAAGAAGGAAGGTAGAACAGCTGAAGCTGAAAAATAAATGTTCTTGAAGAGAATTTCTAGAAAAAACTATGCTGCAATTTGATTATAGCACCTTGATTTTAATTGTCATGGTGCTCCTTTCTATTCATAACAACCCTAGCTGTGCTTGTTGCAGGCAGAGGTGAAGTTGTCATAGATGTGATCACCATGTCTATAAATAAATGCAGGTGATTAGCAAAGTAGACATGATACCTGTGTTTCCATGGCAACCGGGGTTAGCTGTGATGACATATGTCAATGCCACCTAAGTATTTTTGTACCAAGGGTGGGTGAAAAAGACACGAAGTGAGAGAAATGCTTCAGGACATGGGCAAGTATCGGGGTCTTGTTTGATTTAGGGGAAGGGAGGAGGTTTTAGGAGAACTCTTTAATCTGAAGGTAGGTAGTATTGAACCCTTGTGGAAATTACTGAGGGATAGGTGGTGTGACAGAGGGTGAAAAAAAGGGAAGAGGACAAGAACTGGAAAGGGTCCACTTTTAAGGGGTGGCATTTTGTAGAACTGAAACCAGACTTGACAGAGGTTTCTGACAGTTGTTTTTTTATGTAGCATGATGTTTTCATTCCACATCATCAATTCTGCTTTATCCGATTGATGTGCTGACAGCTTAAAACAGTTGCGTATTTTATTAGTTACTCCTTAGCAATTAAAAAAAAAAAGATACTATAATGTTTGCACTGAAGGCATGAACCAAAATGTCATTGCCATTCAGTCCCCTCTAGTTAGTTTATTTCACCTCAAGCTGAGATTTCAAAAATCTTAACAAGTTTTGTAGGTTTCACTAAATATACAATCAAATTATCAGAAACTTAAATTGTCACTTTTTACTCGGATTAGTGTCTCTAATAGTGCCAAATAAAGATTGACATATACAGCAGTTACATAGCCTCAGAAAAATACACTGTTTAAAATACCATGTGGAAAACATCATGTGTGGGCTTACTGTTCTGTAGATCTTTGAGCTTAAGTTGTTTCACAGAAACATTTTGGTCCCTCTAAAGGGACTCTGGATATGAAGAATGAATAGAACTATATAATTATCATATCATTTACAGATTCTTCCAAAAACCTCAAAGATACCCTGAAAGAGTTTGAAGGTGACGGGATCCTTTCCCAGTACAGCAAGGATGAGGCAAGTGAATCTTTATTTAAGTACACTGAAAAGTTAGTTGAATATAATAGAGCATTAAGACAGAAAGAATGTAGGATGTTATAAAGAGTTTCCAGAGGAGTGAAGATGAAATAAATTAATTTCAACCTGAATTGGAAAAAATAAGTTTTATGCAAAAACAAGAATATTTGAAATTCTTGGCATGTAGCTTTTGAGAGCTGATGTGTAATTTAGTATTTTTAGAAGTTTTTTATAAAGACATGATTTATTTTGACAATAATTTCACTGCTTTACTTTTATTTTAAAAAAAGGAAAAAAGTTTTGTTATGATGGGCATTATATATATATATATATATATATATATATATATATATATATATATATATATATATATATATATATATATATATATATATATATATATAAAGAAATTGTTCTGGAAATAAACTATATTTGAAAGGAATAAATATGGCAATTTGTTTTACAGCCCATTGACTATGATGGCTTCAAGAAGTTCATGGAGTTCTACATGGAAGCAGCCATACCAGAGGATTTGTGTCGACACCTTTTTATCTCCTTCATGAAAAAACCTCCAAAGCCTTCTCTGGGTAAGAATCAGTGTTCAGTGACTGACGTAGCGGCAATGGCGTCGCAAACTGCGTGTGCACCCATCACGCATAGGTCGCAGGAATTCATATTTGCAATGCCCGAGTCGAAACACGACAATAGTAAGCATCACAGCTTCGCAGGCAAGTTGCACGGACTTACGGAAAAATTACACGCGCTGGGCCACTCCCGTCATGAGAGTTCTGGTGGGGAGACAGGGAAACGTGGCCACACAGGTACTCCTTCACTTTAACCCGTCATATATCTGTATATTTATGTACTAACGGATCATATATTATGCTGTCTTATGCCAGCCTGTTCTCTGCCTCTTCTGATGTGCCTCCCCTTCCTCTTCCTCCCACACAAAGAAACAGGGGTTATACAACGTTTGCCTTCCTTCTCTTGGATACTTTTTGCTTATTTATTTATTTATTTACTTGAATGTTTGTTTGTTAACTTGAATTTGATTGATGTTTTGATATAAATTGTGGTTTTTCTGCCATTTTTGAGGAAAATATTTTACAACATGTAATTAAAGCTAATTGAAAAAGTTGTAAAATCAACAAATTCTAACCGCAAAGGATGCAAGCAGGTTAATTTTGTAGAAAATGTAATTCAACCAAAATTAGCATGAATTGTTTCTGACTTCTTATTCTCATGTATCGGTTGCAGATTCAAGATTAGTTCTTAGTCAGTATTACATTTTATGCTCATGCAACAAAATATATCTTCCAAATTTTATTATTGGAGGGGTTGGGGGAGGGGGGGGTCTCTAGAACAGGCTGACAAGTTTTATGTTCTATTTTATCTATTGTCTGCGTCATTGTTATACGATGCCCCCATCATTGGTGGGATATTTTGGGTTGAAAGAGGCTAACTTCTTACCATTCAAACATAACTTCTTTTATGTTCTTAAAACAGAAATTGTTAAAAGATTTTCAAAAAAAATTTTTTTAATCATAATATACTGTAAAATTGGATTGGATGGTTAACTTGAAATAGTATATAATTTCCACAAACTAGTTCCAAAATTTTCACCAATGTTGGCAGGCTTCTCTTTGTGTGAATTATTAAGTCACTTGTGTGTTATTTGAATTCTGCTGATTTTTAAATTCTTGATGCCCCTGTAAATGGGTGCCATTTTCCTGGTTGAAGGTTGCACTGGCTTGGTTTTATCCTTTTTCTTTTTGGACAGTCTGGTGATATATTTGTAAAGTTTACTGGTGGTTTTGGAGGTCATAGAAAAATATGAAAAAGAAGATCCTAAATAGTTTTTTATTAATTCGGCTGTCCAAAAAGTTTGTGAACACAGTATCTGTGCTTTTTAAAAGGACTTGTGAAGAAACCACAAAGTTTAAAAATGGGCTTATGTCCTTGGTGTCATGCTGCCTTTTGATTTCCCATTGGGTGAAGTTTCTATGATTTGTTTATGGAAAAAATAGGTTTTTGTTTGAACTCCTGGTTAATGATAAGCATAACCATTTAAGCAAGAAGTTTTTTGCTTACCTTTTGAACCCCTCCTCCGCACCACCAGGTGTCTCTTGTACGATCACCTTCCAAGACAACACCAAACCAGTGCACTCTTCAAAATAAGCCTTGTACAAACAATCATCAGCTCAAGAGTGAGGCGTGCATTCATATTCACTGTATTTAATGCTTGTTTGTCTATGTGACTGTTCCGTCTTCGCCTTTAATAAAGGATCCAACTCTGCTTCCCATCATCCCGCCATAACAGTGTCGACGCCTATGCTGGACAAGATTCACAAATCCGACGACACAACTCCGGACGTCTCGAGTCACTCCCGTTCCTCCTCCAAGAAATCAAACCATAGCATACACAGTTTACACCTCCCTGGTAAGCAAGTTCTATGGCAGAGGGGTGTCTGAAGTTGGTAACCATATTTATGCTTGGCGGCCATGTTGGAATTGGCACTGTGGGTAGTGGTGGGGGTACAAAGTCCAATTCAACAAGACCTAAAAATAATATGCTGCTATTTATGTTGTTGGGTTTGAATTTTTTGGTGAAATATTTTGATTGAAAAATATTTTATGTTATTTAATTCCCTTTCCCCCCTTTTTTTAAATAAGGAAAATGATTAATAGATAAATAAAAGACACCTATGTATAGTTCTTTGGTTCTTGGGCAAAAGGCAACTAAAAGACAGGTTTCATGATTTCTTTCTCAGTATTCTCAACCAAAAAATTAAATGGGAAAGAGAAAAAAAAGGATTAAAAAATCAGAAGTAATGAAGGCATAATAGTGCCTGGTTTAAAATCTCAAAAACTTGACCAAAATGATAATAACAAACTCTATATTATATTAAATTGCTATATTTCAGGCAAATTGTCCCCACTTTCTTATTTTGAAATCAGTACCATCACATTCAATTGTCATAAGAGGGTCATTCCACAGTATACATCTTTTTGCCAACTCTGTAACTCCTTCATCACTTCACATTCCTTGTAAAAGGGCAAATAATAAAAACAGTTGCATGTTATTCCAGTATTTGTGAAGTACATTGAAATAGCATGGAAGAGGCTTAAAGCTGTATGCAGGAATATGAAATTTAATGTTATAATAATCATTGGGACAAATACTTTTTTTGATAGCCTGAAAGTGCACTGAAAGCAAATAATGGTGTAATTTTATGCAACTTATTTAGTCTCCAAAAGTCAACTAAGGCATGTTCAGTCAATTTCCAGTATAAGCAAATTCTCAATTTTACAGTGGGGAAAATGGAAAAAAAATTACAAAATAGGTGCTGCGATAAGGAAAAATACTGTGGAGTGCCCTACAGATAAACTGAAGATTATTTATGGATAGTTTTATGCCACCTCTTTTGATACTTGAACCAAAAAAAAAGAAAAAATGGTCCATGGGCCCAGACATAATATGGTTACTGGCCATGACACAAGTCCTCAGTCTTCATGTTCTTGCATGTTTCTGACATTGTAAATCTATCTCTTACTCAGTGGATGTTCCCCAAATCCTTCTGCTGCAAAATGCTTTTTTTTTCACCAGCTGAAACAATATGTCCATGTCTTTATTTGCTCAAAAGTTGAAATAACAGTTTTTTGGGGGGTTGGTTTTATTTTTTTATTGTGTCCTTGACAAGAAGAAATAACAAAAACAAAAGCACACTTTCTTGTGGCAGATTGTTTTCATGCACTGTGACTGCACATTTTTATCTGTCTGTGTCACATTTCTGCTTTGAGCTGATACATTTTCAGTGACTGGGGGTTGACTGGAAAATTAACTTGTCAGGTGTTATTAGTGAAATTTCAATCAAAATTGATTATTGGCCAACCTTTTATGGTCATTTTTTAAAAAGTCTTTTTAATGAAAAGATTCAAAATTTTGGGGAAAAAAATAGACACTGGTAATTTGTTCATGGATAAAGTCTTTGAAGATGTATATAAAATTGTCCAGTCTCCTTGGGGCTGAATTGTTCAGCAGTCATTGGTCAGGTTGGAAAAGCTCTTTATTGTCGTTGTGATGGGAGATTGTGAATTGTATGCCACTTGTTTATTGCTGCACAGATTTCTTGTTGCCTACAATGTTGTTAGTTTTATGACATTGCTCGTAACCTGGATTTTATTTTCGTACACTCCAGTGGTTTTTGGATGGTGTCCATATTGTGCTGTTCATTTCTCTTTTTATGCCTTCTTGAACCATTTTTGATAGGTTTTGTTTTATGTTATTCTTTCCTTTTGTTCTATTTTTGTGCATGTGAATCTCTACTGTCTCAGCAGCTAAAGCTTAGGCTGGGATCATTTGTCTGTGATTATTTTTATTTATTTTTTTTTTTTTTGCTTCTCCAAGCACCATTTGCTTTCTGTTCCTTGAATGTTCTCTGTTATGTTTTTATATTTGTGAATGTCACTTTGTCAACTGTTTGTTTGATTGTCACTTAATGTTCATGACAGCAAGCACCTTGCACTGCATGTTATATATGGAGATCTATTATTCATCAAATGCACATTTCCAGTTGTTGTGGCTTAACTGAATATACACATATACTTGTGCTTACAATATCTATTCATAAAAAGTTTATCTTAAGGCGTGTCACTTGCCTTGATATAGTGTACATGGGTGGGGCAACTGAGTGATTAGATTGGCTTCTTATGGTTGGATATTGTGATATCATCAGGCTTACGGTGAAAGTATGTACTTTCAGTGTAGCCAACACAACTTAATTGGGAATGTGCCTAATTTTGATCATTTGTATCACAATGATTTTACTAAAATTTAAATATGCACAACTTTTTTGTTTAAGCCAACATGGTTGTTGTACAAAGGGAAGTGGGAAGAAGGTGTATGATTTACGAAAAAAAAAAAAAAAAGATTGAATATTCTGGTTGGTCATTCTGACTGGGCTTGGGGGAATATTTGTGAAGTGAAACATCATTTTATATCTATTTATATATCAGTTTGCATCACTTTAGCATTGATTTTCGCGGTGATACCCTCATTTTGAAATTCCCAATGCCATGCCAAAATATTAAGTCATATCTCCCGAGAATGACACTGTTAATGCTGAATTCTTATCATAAAGTCAAATTAAAAGAACTTGCTCACCAGTGACATAAATCAACATGTTTCCCATCTCCACTCTTGTACATACAAAGCCTAACTTGGATCCTGTATTTACTGTTCATGGAGCTACATTCAGCACTGTTTAACATGAAACTAGCTTCAGGATGTTGACTAATTGATGTGCAGTTCTAAAGTTAAATTCTCTGCACAAAGATGAATGGATGGATGGTTTAATTTGCTGTCAAGTCACAGCAGAAATGGATGTCACTGACCTGTTGCTAGGGTGGATCTGACTTGTGTAATAGCACTTGTCAAGAATAAGGGTGCGTCTCCAATGAATCTTTGGAGCGTGCGACACGCATCCTCCAGCAGCTAGTGGGTGGTTAACTTTGGTGTTGGGTCACACAATTTGAAACAACATCCAGAAGCCAACTGCATATGATGGAAATCAATCCCTAGATGCTTAAGGAGGCGTGTCCCTGAGGAGTTGGATCAATCTACCTTGAACAATAGTTCCAACAGGAACGCACCTTAAAAGACCCTAAACATGGCTGAATCTCTCATTTCTTTGTTACATAAACATGGAAGCAAGATATGCTCTGACTTTGGTTGTCAACATTTGCCCTGGTAAAACTAGACTGCCCAGTTTAAACTAAATCCACGAATTCAATCAAATAGTCAGTTTCCTTGAGCTATTCCCAGAATTGTTGTTGCAAACTATAATTATAACCAAGCACTTGCTGGCAAACATAGGGAGTCTCCCTTTTGAAAGTAGTCCTGACACCATTATATATCAATTCCCATCGATAGGGTGACTCCGGTTTCTGTCAACATACACACTTAATGATAAAATCTAGCAAATAATTTTATTTTAAAAGAAGTCTTGGTTATAAAAGTTGAAATGGTGCTGAATGCAGTTGAACTTGCTATAGTACCATGGCATCTACACATAGTCGTAATTACGCAATTGGCACCCAAGCTGGTAAAATTGTATCTACGGAAAAATTTCACCTGTAGCTCAAGGCAATGTTTTGTCTAAGAATAATGAAGACTTTATTGATTTTGTTTTTGTCAGGTTGCCAATGAAAATCACATTGATTTTGTTTTTCGCCGGGTTGCCAGTACTTTGACAGAAATTGATAATGATAGATTCCTTTATTTGATTTGCTGAGGAAAAAATAAAAAAAAAAAAGGAGCAGAAATATTTCAATTTAATCCCCGTTGATGTGTTTTTGCATACAGTTTTTTGTGTAGATAAAATTGTATTGTATCATATTACTTGATTATGTGAATGGTAATGCAATGTGATCAGCATTCACTCTGAACCCTACTGTGCCAAGGCATATGAGATCTGAGTGGCCTCACACATTATAATTGTCTTCTTCAAGTAGCAGATGCCTGTACACAGGAGCCACACAATATTAAATTGTGTAGATAAATGTAATTTTTGGAAAGGAAATTATTGTTGGCCTTAAAGACTGAAAGAAAAAAAATCCCTGAATTTGGTTATTAGGGTTCAGTGTGAAGGCAGCCTAAGCGCACTGTACATGTAGTTTAGATGTACTGTAGATGTAGTGTAGCTTAGCATGTGGCCAGCGTGGTCTCTGCGCCAAGGTAAGTCAACGAAAACAACCTCCTCACGGCTCCTCATCGCATGCTGCCAGCTGTTACAAGGTGAGATTCACAGCACAGGCTGGATGAAAGTAACATTTACACTCATAGAATTGAGGCACTTGCATGTCCAAGAGAAACAAAGGTCTTGTTTTAATAGCATTTTCGTTATTATCATTACTGTTAAACATTTCTAATGTAAATTGAAGGAAGAAAATTTCACAATTTGCAATATCATAAAAATTTTTTGTTTTTTGTTTGGCGAAGATTTAACATAAATTATAACGAAGCACTTTTTATTTGAGAATATTTAGTACTGCATTTAGAAGATATTTAACACTAAACTGCAAAGTCATGCTCAGCACTTTGTTTAGGGAACTTATTTTCTGTGTGACTTGGGTATGCAATCATCCTGAAATATGTTGTGTAAATGTTTGAAAATGAAGCATGTAAGTACTAAACTATTTCTAGTCCAGGACTATTTGTGCTACATTGTAAATATATTTTTTATAGATTATATCAACAGTTTAATACATATTGAACATATGAACATATGAAAATTAGATTGTTAGTTTAATACTTGCTTTAAAATATCGCTTGTTTTTTGATATTATATTTTAATATGTAACGATTCTTTCAAAGTAATTGTAGCAATCTTTAGTAGCATTTAAAGCATATTAAAAATTAAATTAAATGTTTTAGAAGTATTTTTTTCTGGGAGAAAGTTATGTGATAAAACTCCGCTTTTGTAAATAAAATGTCATACTTTCAAATTTCCTTGCTATTTCATTTTCACTTTTGCATGCGATGCCTTTTAAAAAATTGAGCTCTATAATATCATTGCCTTACTATATTGAATGCTTTTTTCTAATTGTTATTTAACATGCATTCTTAGTATCTTTAAGTTTCATGCCCAAACTTCTGTCAAAATATGACCTCATATAGAATGTTATCCATGAAATTTCAGCAACCCATTGTGAAAAGTTTAAACCCTTAATTCACTCAGTTTAGCATTCATTTTGAGCATCCATTTCATATTGTATAAATTTCTCTCTCTAGGAAATATTTTTCACAAATCATAATTATTTAGAGAAACAAAATGAGAAAAGGAAAGGGAAAAAAGAAACATTTTGAAATCCTGTGGATAATGTTTTTTCCCCATAATATAATTTCTAAAAAAAAAAAAAAGAACATTATTTCTGTTTTCATTCCAGTAACAAACTTAAAATTATGTTACCAATTTCAATTTCTTCCTTTGTAATTTCAATTTCAAATCATTGCCATTTTAAAAAGCATCCATGCCCCCCTACTCCCACTGTTGCCAGGGCAACTCCCACTAACCATTAACATGTCATCTATTAACCCATTGCTAGACTCAAATGACCCCTGGATTCGCCAGAGCACCTCCTCTCTCTTGCAAGGTCTAGGGGGGAAGATGAAGCGCCAGAGCATCGACGTGAAGAGCGGCAACATACTCATTAAGGATCTGGTCTGTTACTTGTCGTTGCTGGAAGCCGGGAGGCCAGAGGACAAATTAGAATGTGAGTTGGTAATTTGTATGTATTAGGGATCATTGCCAATAAAACTTTCATGTTATGTAGATCAAGCCAACTCCATGGGGACTCTCGCTGAATGCAATCAGATGAACAGATTAACACGCATCCTCTTGTGTCCAAGGTACTCATATATTCACCAGCTTTTCGAGGTCAGAAGGAGGCATGTTAATCTGTTATTCTGATTGCATTTAGTGAGAGTCTCCATGGAGTTGGATCGATCTATATAGATCGATAGCTTCATTGGGAATGAGCCTTTAGGCCATCTACTAGAATAAGTGCAGTTAAGTTCAGATGAAATTACATGTTTTATTGTTTATAATCATGTTATTATTATTATGACATTAACAGTAATGGTCGGAGAGTTAAATAGAATGGAAGTTGGTTTTATTTTATTATTCATCATTGCAAGAATGTCAAGTATATTTTTGTCGTATAATACATAGCCTTTTTTGTAGCTGAAATGTTTACTGTAAGGTAAATTGTTAGTCAAAGTGTAGAGACTATTGATGATTATGTTGAAGCTCCTTCCAGTAATCGTGAATTTGAATCTTTTTAATGAATCATCACTACACATGAGTTGATTTTTTTTTATTGGTCAAAACTATTTGACCTAAAGGAGGGTTTTCTGCCTGACTTATATTGGATGTTTGTTGACATTTTTCCAGTTATGTTCAGGTTATATGATACAGATGGCAATGGTCTGCTGGATGCTACAGTAAGTACATAGAACCAGGTCCCCGTAACTCGATAGCAACCAATGCGCAAGCGTCTCTATTCCATAACTCGCCCATACTCGCCCCATATTATACATTGTAGCCTCTATGTGATATCTCTATTCGCAATATTCTATGCTTTCGAGCTACGGGGCCTAGGTCCAATATGTCTGTTTTGAATTGCTGTTATCAGATATATGACAAATTTAATTGAAGAAAAAAATGAAACCTTGAAACAATTACATCTTTGAATTATATGAGAGAGTAGCAGTTCTGAAGAGAATCAATGAATATGTAAATAAAATGATAGAGAAGGAAGCGCAGTAAGATGCTAAAACGTTAAAGTAGGCTTTATATCTTGTCTGCTCAGTTTTCCTTATCTGTTATTTAATATATAATCTTCCTTGATTGCCACCAAATAATGAGGTGTGACATTTCCACTGTTACATCTTTAGTGTATGTCTGATTTAAATTCTTAAATTAAACATTCAGTTATTTTCTTTGTACATTTATTGATATATAATTTTATTTGTAGGAGTTGGACTGTATAGTTAGTCAGATGATGACTGTGGCGGAATATCTCGGCTGGGATGTGACTGAACTTAGGCCTGTGAGTATTTGTATTACCTAACATTATCAAGGAGTGTCTCACTCTTTAGTAGAAAATACATTTACTGATCAGTTGTTTCGGATATCCATTGTTTGTTTTGAAATTTGCTCACACAAGTTTTCAAGATAATTGTTTCTTTTTTTCTTCTATATAACCAAGTATCTCACCTTGATTCCTTTGAATATTTATTTATTTATTTATTTATTTATTTATTTATTTATTTGTTTTTTTATTTATTTATTTATTTATATTTTCATGCCTGTCAAGCCTTGTAGTCTAGCACAAACTCAATCTCTGAGGGAACATTCTGTTATTTTATTATGAATCAGTTGTAATGTAAGACTAAGATATAACCCCATGGCTAATAAATAACATATGAATAATTCACAGTTTGTAAAACAGGAGATTTGATATTTAAGACCAAAATAAATAATTCAACAAAGTAGAATGATTCAGTTGTTGTTTCCCATTCCAGATATTAAAGGACATGATGGTAGAGATTGACTATGACAATGATGGCACTGTGTCACTGGAGGAGTGGAAACGCGGCGGAATGACGACCATACCCTTACTAGTACTGCTGGGATTAGATACTGTACGTAACCCACACATTTGCACACGTTCACACATACACAAACACACGGACATGCATACAAGTGCATGCTTGAGAACACATTTACAGATAAACATACAGTCATGCTTCTTCTTCAACAGGAGGTAAAGTACCCAAAATCATTTATTAATAATTTGTTTCGCTAGGAATAGATACATACATAAGCTCTTGAATATCTGTTATGTATTTGTTTAATGTAAGATGGTCTCAACCTCTTGCAAGATCATCCAAACCTTATATCACATGGTACTACATATACTGAATATCTGTAATTTAGAGGAATTTAATTGTTGCATGAGATGCTGTTTTTCATTTTGTTGTAGAATGTTAAAGATGACGGGCAGCATGTGTGGAGGTTGAAACATTTTAACAAACCAGCTTACTGCAACCTCTGCCTCAATCTCCTGGTGGGACTGGGAAAACAAGGGCTAAGCTGTACATGTAAGTAGTGAAACTGTTATATATATATATATGTTTTTTAAATATAATTTCATTTAATTTTACTTTATTTTATATTGGATGAGTGGTTGGTAGCCCCCTTATTTCATGTCAAATTGAGTTATAAAATCTACTGGACTTTGGGTAAAATGTTCATAAATGGGGAATATAGGAGAAGGGGAGGGTTTGTGTACTTTCAAGATTCATATCAAATCGTGTAGATCTTTAAGAAGTTAATAAGTTATTATACTGATGCATCTAATATGAAGATATGCTTTAAAGATGTAATAACTAAGCTTTTTTTTTTCTTTTTCAAAATCCCTGAAGAAGGCCTAGGGCCGAAAGCTTGGATTAGTTATTACATCTTTATAGTAGATCTTCATAGATGCATCAGTATAATAACTTATTTGTTTCTTGGTTTAGAAATGAGGACAGGCTGTCAGTGACACTCTAAATCCTGACCCTGAATAAAGTTGGAAAGTACTACAACTCTATAGCAAGATATTTTTCCAAAATAAGTTTTTTTGAGCACTTATTTCACATATATATATTTATTAAAAAAACGTTTATAAGGGTGTCTTGTCCTAATATTTAAGTGTAGCACAGTTTTTCCATTTCATTTGCTATAAATATTATTGTTTAGTAAATTGTATTCATCCATATGTATTGAAGCATCTTATTTGGTATGCTGGCACAATCTTATACTTATTTTTACTAAAAAAAACATTTACTTTATTGATATGTATTCACTGGTTGTATTAAATAATCACATTATGTGTACATTAGTAATAAGTTGGTCTGCTTTTGTCTATTGAGCCGAGATGCAGGTAGCATAAGGGTGTGGGGGTGTATTGAGCTTGTCTTAGGTCAAAGGTCAAGGGTCATGTGACCAAGGTAGGGCCATGAGATAAGACAATCCACTATTTACATGAAATCTTTTGCAAATCTAATCAGTGCAGTCACACAGTTTATGGGTTGTTGATTGCATTACATCTCTTCAGTTTCTTTGCATGTGGGCAGCTAATATTGAATGGTACTCAGTTGATTGCTCGGTTTCATGCTGTGGATTGTACTTATTCTGATCATAAGGGAGGGATCCTGTCTTTGTAAATGTTTTGAACAAAGTGACAGACTCTGCATCTCAGCTCATAGTGTTTGTTTTATTGTGCATTTCTTGTTTTTTTTTATTTTCAGTTTGTAAATACACTGTTCACGAACGTTGTGTTCACCGAGCACCGGCGTCATGCATTACTACATATGTCAAATCAAAAAAGACACCTCAGGTAGGAGACTAGCAGAGAACAGGAAAATTTAGAACACCCTATATCAGATGCAATAGCCAGTGCACACTGGCAAACTGAATAATTTTTTGTGACATTCTCCACAAAGCTATGATGGGAATTACTTTTTCTTCTGTTTAGTGTTAGTATATTTGATCATACTTTCTCACTCATCCTTATCTTTCATGTTTCAAATGAAAGACAGTCCTTCTCCTTAATTTCTTGTTCAAGTTCTACATGTGGCACTGACTCTATATATAACTTCTTTTCTCCCAGTTCCATTATTCCTGTCATCTTTCTATTCCACATCTTTCAGTGTCTTCCTTGCTTCCCCTTGAATTACAATTTTCCCTTTGCTTCCTCTTGAATCTCGTATCTCTTTGAGTCCCCGTATATTCCTCCAAGGTTTCCATACTTTTCATGTAACTTTTATTCTTAACATTGTCAGATTGGTATTGCTGCAACAAATAATCTGCAAAAAATTCTAAAGTAGGAGTATTTAGCTAAGGAAGGATTTACTAGTTTTGGTAAAAACCCTCTTTCGCGATTGTCTCAAATTTGAATTTTGACCTAATATATGGGGGAGCTAATTGGTATTAAACATGTCTGATTGTCTGCCAAGTATGAAGTATTTTTTTTTCATTTATTTTAGCACATTTTATTGCAAATTTTGAGAATATTTCAGTCAGTGTGTGATTGCGTGAGGCCCACAAGTACACTTTTTATGTTTTGTTGAAAAATTAAAATTGATTATTAAAATAGCGTAACTCTAAATGAGTTGATATATTTTGAGGTGTGGGAGAATTAAATTCTATTTTTGTGAGAAAATATGGCATTGAATTTCTTACCGGCTCATAAAAGTATGAGTTTTCTGAAACAAAGAAAAAAGCTTAATGTATTAAAGTCATTCACACCATACAATGAAATGGATCATTTTGATCTCTGAATTTTCTATTAAATTTTTATAGGCTTGATAATGGGTCATGCTACACCTTTGCCAACTCTGGCTGAGTAAATTTCATATGAATGCCCAACTTTTAGTTTGGCAAAAGAAGCTGTAATACATTCAAGCTTTTTCAACAAGATTGATAATTGATTTTAAGATCTGGCTTATCTTGAAGAAATGGGACATTTGGCTTAAAGGGATTATTTAATCTCAAAAGAAACCGTTTTATACAATTTATCTGCTATTAAACAGGAATGGCACACAAAGCAGCACTTGATCTTAATTAAGTTGCCTTGTACTTGAATGCTGATGTAGTGGAGTAAATGTTATAATACATGACATAAATTGTCCCTCATTTAGGCCATGCTTCATCACTGGGTGGAGGGGAACTGCCCTGGGAAATGTGACCGCTGCAAGAAGTCTATCAAAACTTACAATGGAGTCACAGGATTACATTGTCGTTGGTGCCAATTAAATGTAAGTGTGTGTGTGTGTGTGTGTGTATGCGCGTGCGTGTGTGTTTTGAGAGAGAGAGAATGGACACTGTAATTATTGAAATTCACAAAAGAGTTTGTGTATTGTTTAGCCAATGTAAGGACTTGTTTGTGTGTGCATGTTTGATTTTTGATGTTTGTTTAGATGCTCTTGGATTAAGTCATTTTTTTCTCTGATATAAGTTCATTTGCAAAACTGTGCAATTTTAAAGAATAATAGTAAAGCTTTGGAAATATAAAGAAAAAAAGAAAGACAACAAAATTCAGTACCATGTACCCTTCTAATTTTTTTCTCCTCGTCTTTCAGCTTCATAACAAGTGCGCCTCCCAGGTGAAACCTGATTGTGATATGGGAGAATTCAAAGACCACATCCTCCCTCCCACGTCTATATGTCCTGCAGTGCTGGTGAGTTCTTCTTGTTATCACATCCACTACTACCACCACCACCACCACCACTACCACCACCACCATTACCTGAAAATTACCAATAATTAGTATTTGCTAGGTTTTTATTTCTAAAGCGCTGTTTAGATCGATTCCTATTCACATATCTATCAGTCATCTGATTAACACATGCATTTGGCAAATCTGGGCGCAATTACTGTTACTCTGAATGATGAGGATGTTCAGGTGATAAGATTAAAAGGTTACTGTAGCATGTTCAGAATATTTCTGCAAGGCTTTTAACACTAAGTACAGCCTGTAAGCAATTGCAACATAACCCTAATTATAAAAACATCTGCACTGGTTACAGGTTTGGCAAGACTTTTATTTGAAATTGAAGTTAGTACACATGCAGCATTTTATTATCTTTCTTCACCATACATAACAATTCGGATTAAATGTCAGGATTATCAAATAACCTTATGCTATGATGACAAACTGGAAACTCCCAGAGCTAGGTTTACAATATATGGTGGCATAGTATGTCATATAGCTGCACTACTGGATTAGAAATAAGCTGCATATATTCATGTAAGACCAATACTGTAATGGAGAGCTGAAAACACATTTGAAGAGGGTTTTATTCAGGACATTGTTTTTAATTTTTAAAAAATATTATAGAAATCTTAAATAGTTTAAATATATTTGTCACAATTACTTAATTTTCTATTTAATTATTCATTTGTATTAAATTTCACTGCAATCTATTAACTGTACACATATTTTTAGTATTCTTGTCTGTGTACATATGGATCTAGACTTTAAATAATGCAAATTATAATAATTTTGTTACTTAAAAATTTTCAAGAATAATCTCTTTTTTTTTTCTTCAGGAACGTCAGCCTGCAGGTCGACCCAGACCGCCTGGCCGTTCAGACTCGGTGGACCAGGAGATGAGTTTATTGACAACAGGGGGCAGCAGCAGTATCAGTTCATTTCAGATCACGCCTCCTGATAACTGTATACCACTGCTGGTTTTCGTCAACCCTAAAAGTGGAGGGAAACAAGGCACCAGGTGGGTTACGTGGACCATTTCAGGCCTTTAGCTTTTTTAGGGGGCTTCTAACTAAGAAATCTTTTATTGATGTTTGTAGAAAAAAGTTTTAAGAATCTTATATCATATTATAACATAACAGGTGATATTACTTATTACCTTCACCAGGGAGCTGTCACATGACCTCTATGAAATTGTTTTGTGCCACATAAATTTGGAAAACAGTATTTCTCAGAGTTGCCATTTCTCTGTGAATTGGTCTGGAACAACCTCATCCATTTCAACCACCTTCTTCAATTTTCTTAGTCTTTAGTTTTCTATGTTCTCTGTTACAGAATATTAAGGAAGCTCCAGTACCTCCTGAATCCAAGACAGGTGTATGATCTGATTAAGGAGAAAGGACCCATGTCTGGGTAAGTAGGACAGCACAAACTGACAGGGATCTATCTGATTGGTAGAATATTAGCCAAACAATTGAGATGGATTGGTTTTATTTTGGTCAAAGAAAGTGAAATCACTTTTAAGAAAATTTGCCTGTTGATTGTATTTATGATTAAGACTTTTGATTTGAATAAATTCTCCTTAAGGGGGATTTCCTCCTTTTTATGTGTAACAAAAGAGGAATAAAAGTTCATGGATTTAAAGTGAAAAAATGAAAATATCAGGAGAGTGAGTTTTTTTCACACCATAACACCATATGTTCTCACATATTTGATACACAGAAAGCTATTACAAGACTGAAAGTATATTTTCTGTCCTTTCAGGCTCCAGTTTTTCAAAGATGTTCCAAATTTCCGTATTCTCTGCTGTGGAGGCGATGGCACTGTGGGCTGGCTCCTAGACGCCATGGGTAGGAAAACTAAGGCTTTGGTTTCATACCTGTGTATGTCTCTGGGAAGGGAGGAGGGTTATTTTTTTTTTTATAACATTGTCTAGCTGCTGTCATCTCTGAGTTTTTTCTTCCCTTAAAACCAGTCTTTTCTTAACTTTGCCTTATTGCACTTTGAAGGAAGTTAATTGGTTTAACATGACATGTTTTTATTTCCAGACAAGGTTCAGTTTGTGAACAGGCCGCCAGTAGCAGTTCTACCTCTGGGCACAGGAAATGACCTGGCTAGGTGCCTGCGGTGGGGAGGAGGTATGCAATTCAGTATTTTCGAACAATTATTTAAAAGTTTATTTAATGTTAATTTTTTATTTAGTGGAACTAATTAAGTCTTTTATGTTACCAGCCCAAATTTTCTGTTATCCTGTATGTTTTTGTCAGTTTGACATCTCTCTCTCTCTCTCTCTCTCTCTCTCTCTCATTCTCTCTCTCTCAGAACACGCACACACACAAACAAATTGTTGTTCTCTTTTTCTACAAATTAAATTGTCTTTCCAGTTACTGTACACATCCTATCCACATTGTGCTTGTATGTCATCACTTTGTTATTTAACTAATAGGTTATGAAGGAGAAAGCTTATCAAAGATTTTACACAAGATTTCAAACAGCACAGTGGTCCTGATGGACAGGTGGAAGATAGAAGTCAGTGCCCCCGAGGGCGGAGACGAGGAGCAGGGGGATTCCATTCCAACCAACATCATCAACAATTATTTTTCCATTGGGGTGGTAAGTTGATTGTGTGTACAATGCATGTGCCTGATTGCATACTTAAATGAATATTGAAAAAATATGGTAGTTGCTTGTGAAAGCCCAACATAATTATATTATAAAGTGTTCTCACAAAGGCAATTGGTGGCAAAGCTGGAGTGTCACAGTTTGTGAATTTGACTTTTCTTTATTTATTTACAGAAATTGACTCTGTGCAACTTGTGTATACTTGATTAATCTTTTTAGGATGCTTCCATATGCCATAGGTTTCATCTCATGAGGGAAAAGCATCCAGAAAAATTCAACAGTCGGTGAGTATTAAGAAGTGAAATTAAGTTCAAGCATTAGAGTTGTCGTAAGAAACAGAAATAATGTTAAAAATAAACTCCAATCTCAAAAAGTTACTTGCTTTCATGTTTTAATGCGTCTTGACTTTGAAAACAATTCATTAACCTCTGTTCTGAGATCAGTAAATGAATTTTGTAATAAAATGCTGAGAACATTTGATTTACATATATAATATATGATTTTTTCCCTCTGATTGTAATTTATCATTATATATATATATATATATATATATATATATATATATATATAATGATGTGTCAGGATGCATATGGACTGTGGAAGTAACTAGATGTACCTAGACTCTCTGGATCCTCGGGTACTTTTCTATTTCCTCCATAATTCACGAGGAATATATATATATATATATATATATATATATATATATATATATATATATATATATATATATATGTCTTCAGAAGTATGTGAACAAGATGGTTTTGAATTTGTCATTTTCAGGATGAAAAACAAGTTGTGGTATTTTGAGTTTGGTACATCAGAGACATTTTTTGCCACCTGCAAAAATTTACATGAAGATGTAGATATATTGGTAAGAGAATACATGAGTCTTTTATGCTTAATTTATATTTTCATATTTTTGTTAGATTCTGCTGATAAAAATTATCTATATCAAAATGAATTTGGCATTTGATTGAACTTACAGTTGTATATCACATTATTGCTGCTAGTATGTGAAGAACATTATAAGGGAGTTTATTTGTCAGTCAGTGTCAGCCTACTTAACTAGTATATATATTGTATTCATCGTTTCCATTATTCAAGTTACTGAAGTTTTGGTTCTTATTGTACCCTTTTGCATCACTTAAAGATGTTTACTGTTCTTCATCCTCTCCCCATCATTCCAGGCTGACAACTGCTCTCTAGACTCTGCCAATGGACCAAGGTTGGAAGGCATTGCCATCCTCAACATCCCCAGTATATATGGGGGGTCCAATCTCTGGGGGGAGAACCCAGGGCAAAAGAAGAGGAAAAAGGCACAAAGAAATGCTAAGAGGGACAAAGACAGGGAATTTTCTTCCAGTAGTATGTCATCAGTGGATCTCCATTTTGCTGTGCAAGGTGAATATTTAAATGGATCTTGATTTGATCTTTAATGCCTTTTGTGAAACAGGACTCTAAAAGAACCATCATGGGTAAAAAGGTTCATGTCAGCTGTCTTCGCCTCAGCAGCAAGCATAAACCATTTGAGGACATCATTTGATTTTTAACATAATTGTAAAAAAGTAGTGACAAAAAAATCAGAGACACTGATTGAAGACAGGATATGAGGGGGCCGTAGCGATAGTCTGAAGGTTCATTGGTCCGAATATACACTATAGAACCTTTGGACCAATGAACCCTTGATTAAAAAATCGATGAAAATGTTACCACTTTTCGGACCAATGAACCTTCGGACTATCGAGACGCCCCCGATATGAGAACTGATTTATACATATATCAAGCTTTAACTATGATAACTATTTGGGAAAATGATTAAGCCTGATCAATTTATATTGTGGGAGTTTTTTTAAAGAAAACATACTAAAACCCCCCTATTTTTCAGATATTGGAGACAATTCAATTGAAGTGGTGGGTCTGGACAACACAATGCACGCAGCTCAAGTCAAAGTTGGTCTCAGAAACTCTGGCCGCAGGCTGGCGCAGTGTTCTCAAGTAGTCATCAGGTAAGGAGAGATGTTTTATAAGAAATTTTTTAAAGTTTTGAAATATTTTGAAATCATTGTAAACATTATAAGATATTAAGCATAAATAATGATTATGAGTACTTTTCCAATTAACAATTATAATTATAAAAAATAATCATAATTCACGAGGAATAGAAACTAAGAATCATGTCTTCAAGAGAAAAAGGGTTAGACTAAGTGTGGAAATATACCGAAGAGGACCAAAACTTGGTAAATGTCATTGCTATCACTTTTTAGGACACGCAAGCGTTTTCCTATGCAGATTGATGGAGAGCCTTGGATTCAGACACCCTGCACGGTAAGTGTGCTTTTTTCACTTTTACAGGATGGATATTAAGACTGACTGTCATGTGAGTTGTTCCACAAAAAATATTGATCATATTTCTTAAAATGTTCATAATTGTTTTATATCACTTTTTAATTTCAGTTTGCTGTCTTTCCATATTATAAGGTCCTAACATGTAAACAGACATGATAATTTTCAGACAATGGATGGATTGTCTAGTTTGTTCAATCTCAAAAAAAAAAAAATCATTCTTGAGATAAGCGCACATCTGTCGAAAACTTTTCAAGGGAATGGGGGGAGGGGTGTCAGGATGCATATGGACTGTGGAAGTAACTAGATGTACCTAGACTCTCTGCATCCTCCGGTACTTTTCTGTTTCCTCCATATAAAAAATTAAAATCACATTCTCATGTCTGTTAAAAAGCAGAGAAAATTAGGGGACATGTCCAAATATTAAACAAAATGTGTGCATCACTGACATGAATATAGCTTATAGGTTTTTTTTTTCTTTTGTGAAATGACCCATGTCAAAGTGTATGTTCTGTTAGTATTTGGTGGTATTTTGATTTTTAATGAATTTTTGTTTTGATTACAGATTTCCATTAGTTTAAAGAATCAGGTTCCTATGTGCATTGGCCCTCTCTCCAGAAAGAAAAGATCTTTCTTTAGCTTCTGGTCTTAACCCATTAAAGTAAGTTTATTATTATTATTATTATAATGATATTTATTTATCCAAAATTTGTTTTCTTGTTATGTTTTGTAAGTATGAAATTGCAGCTGTTATATTATCATTTAAGACATGACAGTTTATTCGTGATGTTTATAATATCTTTCTAGTTTTGACATAATGTTTAACAGTGACAGTGTCTTCTGTTTTCATGCTTTAAGTTTGATACATTTCAAAGTATAGTTTTTCTGTACATTTCAAGGTGATGTTTTTCTCCTCAGGTCCATACCAGGTATTGCATTTGGTTCTACTGATGTCTTCAAAGCCCTTATCAGGGATTGCGTCACATCCATGGGTCATTGTCACTCAAGTGTCACCTGAACTTCTTTTTGGCACTCCTGGGACAAAAAGGCAGCAGATCAGTGTCCTTAAGATGTTTTATATATCCTTGCATCACGTACAGAATGTGTCATCACGTATGAAGTGTCACACATGCTTTGCAACTTAAGTGTCACCAGAGGATGTCAACCTAAAGTTCCAGCTTCTCCTGTCATGTAGACAGAAATTACCCAACAGTGGATTTCCCCCGACACAAGGGACAAATGACATATATTTTCCTGGACAGTGTGACATTATATGTCAAAATCATGACACAGTGTTGCCTAGTCACTGTCAAAGTCATGACACTGTGTTGCCTTGTCACGTTGTGTCACAGTCATGACACAGTGTTGCCTTGTCACAGAGATGTCAAATCACATTGATAGCGGTGATGTCTTTCAGCCATTGTGATATATCAGTCACTTTGGCATCACCATGGCGATAGAACATGGTGGACCTCTGGTGTCTAATGACTCTTTTGACTGAAGGTTTTTGCATATGAGAGTTTTTTTTTCCTTTCTGGAGAAAAGGGCATATATAATTGAAAATGAGCTCATGTGTGGGTGTTTTTTTTTTTTTTTTTTTTTTAATTTAATCTGGAAAATAGAGCTTATATTTTGAGAGAAAAGTTGTGATGCCAACAATGAGGCAAGATAGATCCATGAGAAGATGAAGAAGGTGGATTCACACCCATATATGCCCTTTGAACCCATTTCCATTTTTGCCTGATCTCTAATTTTTTTCTCTGTTGGCATTTTGTGACGATGAAAGTGATTTTTTCACCATTTATTGTATTGACGTATCTACTTCTTTTTCAGGCACAATCATTTGTCAGTGCAAAAGTTAATGTCTCAGAGAAATTATATAATATATCATTTTACTTATCATTTGTAAAAAGTTGATTCTTTAATTGCTCTGTCACATTTTAGATAGCTGTAGGTCATCTGTTGACTTGATTGAGTGCTTGACGTTTAGATAAAAAAAATTGGAAGTACATTTCACACTTTCAGCATAATTGAAAACATTTTACTGTATCACAAGTCTGAGTTATTCTTTAGTAGTTAGCACAAAGTGTGGTCCTTCTCTAGGTCCATTTCTCACATGCATGCATGTATACAAGCGTGCACACACACACATATTCATATATGTATATATTGAAGCAACCCTGATACACATATGCCTTGCTTGGTTGATCCAATCTGTGTATTTATTCAGAATTCACTTTTTTTATATCAAAAATCAGTATTTATTAGTTTAATTTTTATAACTGAACTCGTGTTTATTTATGGTGTGAGTGTGTGACTGGTTACCACAGCCTGGAATGCCTGCTGTCATGGAGGTTTTTTGGTGCCAGTACCCTTATGTTAGAGTACCCTTGTGGTAATATTACAATAACAAGGCCATCATTTTATGGTGAAGTTCTTTTGTGTATATATATATATGTAAATTGAGAGCAAAATTGGTACAGCCTTTTTTCCCCTAAAGAAGGAGTACCTCTTTGCTTTATTGTGACTTTGAGTGGCACATCTTCCCTATTTTCTATTAAAAGTTTTTCTCCCTTTTTCTCAACGATCATGTATGCTTGTTAAGTAGGTTTTAGGAAAAAAGGAGTATAGATGTCTCTGTTTCTTTTGAAAAGCTAGTGTGAATGGCTTCTGCTCCTAGAGCCATGGTAAAAAAAATATGTATTCCTTTCAGTATCATTAAAGTATACAGGAAACAAATGCCTTACAAATGAGCATTTTGATCTGACAGAATGTAGATAGAGAAATCTACAAGCAAGAATGTCAAGATTACTGCACAACTTTAAATTGGGTCTCTTGAATTAAAAATGTATGACAATTCGTAGAAAGTGATACTTTTCCTTGTTAAGCGCTTGGCTCTTTGTTAATTTTTCTAAATGTTCTTTTGTGTGCATTTATTTTTTACACAGAAGTTCAAAGTGCTGAGACATTCGGCTACTTTGTGAATAAAAAAGTACAGTCAGTGCAACCCCTATGTTAAAGCCAAAAAACATCAACCAAAGACATGTTTTAAAACAAAAAATAAAAAAACTATCTAGGAAAAAAGGGTGGATAGGATTTTTAAGAGTCGGGATGTATTTTACAGTTTTAGACAATGTTATGATTATTATTTCACCTGTACAGCAGTGGATTATAACATATAAGAAATATGATGTTAATGGCAATTGATTCATACTTCTAGTTTGATTCTGCATGTAGTAAGACAAACAGAAAAAAATTCAAAATAAGTCTTATGAAAGAAAAAGAGTTGTCCTTTTTACCCATTTCTTCAAAGTGTATTGGATATATAACTGCTCTGCCAATTGTGTATTTCTCATTATTATTATATTATTGAGACAGATTGTTTCAAAAGACATTATTTAAAAGCTCTATTTAAAATTGATAATGCACAGAAAGATTTGAAGCAGCATATGCAGTGAATATCACTAGTTCGGGAATTTTACCCTAAAAGTCGTACATGTATTTAGCGTATTTTGTCGTCATTATTCAAAAATTCCCTAGAATTGTTTCAAAAGAAATATCTTTTTTATAAAGAATAGAATGTATTAAGGCTTACATTTCTTATATTTGTAAATGTCATTTTCATCATTGTTCAATAATTCTAATTCCACCTACTGAATAATATGCCTGTCTTTTTACTAAGGTACACTATTGTTACATTATGATAGTTTTATGTACTTGTAAATACACAGAGTAAATACCGCACTGCATCTCGTGCTATTCACTAAATCCTTTATTACGACATTTACATCTTATGAAAACTTATAGTACAAATTTTACTGAACATGTATAGAGATAACCTGAAGCCAGATCTGGTCCACAAACGATTGTACGTGTACAAAGCTTTACTGAACTGTTTCATGTAATTTTTCGGGAAATAAATACAATCTTGTGGACATTCTTCTACTAATCTTAACAGAACGTTTTTGTTTATTTTATTTATTTATTATTATTTTTTTTTTTTTTGTGTCGAAGAAAAGAAGTTTCCTGGGCGCTAACACTGATATATCTATTTATTTACTAGTAAATTACAAGCATGTTTCCCAGTTTTCATACATTTGCACAGCTGCATAATTTAATCGTTATACCCGTTGCTTATCAGAGGTTACCTGTACTTTTCTTTTATCAGAAATGGATTTTTGTAGTTTAAAATATTTACGTTGCTTAATTGCCAAATTAGAATGTCGGCCACTTCGGAACTTGTCATGAATTAGCCAGAAAAAAATATCTGTGAATATATAATGAAAAATCAGTTAAGGGCACTGGTAGAAGGTAAAAGTAGGTATGAAGTATCACGAAGGTGTCATATGATAGGGTCAGAGACCTCGGACAGAGCGCAGTGAGGGATTCTTGTCATTCCCTGCACGGGTGCTTCTGGATCTGCCTGGGTGACTTTGCTGGTTTTCTCTCGTCCTCCTACCTGGCAGCGGTTTTAACTGACGAGTTCACTTGAATTCACCACTGCGCCGCTGACTCTGTTAAAACCGTACAATGAGCGTCAGGTCTTTACACATGTACATCAAAACATTGTAATTTTCCTGTAAACTTCAGTTGACCCTTTTCCCTTACTACAAACGAATTACATACTCTGGTCAATTGTTGTCTTTTATCAGTTTCTGCTCCATAGGCTGCCTGACAGCCTAACATTTGGGTGTATATTAAAAAAAAACATTGCCATGAGAATAATATTACAGCATGACGTAATAAAAAACAGCACACAGTTAGCTCTCAGTGACGTCACAAATGTATGCTAATGAGACAAATTCTCACCCGAAAAGAAAGTGATTTCTGACCGATAAAGAATATATTATCCAGTTTTCATTTTCTCTTGTTGGCGGACTGTTAATGCGTTTTTGTTTGTGTCCAGTTTTATTAATATTTGTTCTTGTATTTTCCTATACAGTGACATTATAGTAGATTGGGACAACGCTAGTAACGGCTGTATAGTTTCAGTAGAAATAAAGACAGCCACATCAAAGGGTCCTAACTAATTGTTTATGTGGTTTAAAGTTAATGTCCTGCATATCAACATAACCTAACATGATGGCAAAATGATTTTACCTTATGTTGTAAGTATAGAGGCTGTCAAAAAAACGGCCACTTCGTACATTCGTGTTCACTTTTATCCCAAACCTTTACTGCATGTGTTTTTTCACTTCGAATCTGAAAAGCAACGTCAAAAGTATAAACATTTTGCACCATATATCAAAGAAGATACATTAGCGAATACCAAAAAGTGATTGCGATTCACGTCGATGATTTAAGTAACGGAAATTCGATAAGCCCTGTAGCTCTCAATTCTAATCACGAAGCACTCTAAAAACACAGAGAAACCGATGGTGAGAAACAGGCTGTAAAACGAGAAGGCAGCGAGTCTTGAGTGTCAGGAAAAAAGATTGAATTTCCCTCTATGTGACCCCAGTAGCTGAGTTACGTCGCCAGCTGGAATATGGGATTGAAACATAGGCGCTCCCTGACGGTAAGTGGTTTGACTTATAAAGTGGGTCTTATGCAAAACAATGCCTATTTAATTTGAAACGACTAATGTACATGTTTCAAATTCCAGTATAGAACTGCAGCCTGAACTTTTTACTCGCGGCTACGTAACTTATTGAGTCATTCCTGCTTTGAGAATGTTAAGTCAAATGACATACGGCATGTGTTCAAATGAAATAAATCAAATTTCATTTCATTGAGCAAAAACATGCCTGAGTAGGATTTGAAAATTAAGTGAAAAGTGATTTAATCATACACCAGTATTTTAACGAAAGAATGTCATCTCCAAATTAAATTTATAGACAATAGGCTTACTCCCCCCCTCCGCCCCCAATCTCATTCAACACCCGGCCCTTGCTATGCGTGACTGGTCAGTAGTCGTAGCACCTTAACATACTTGTTGCTTCGACCGCATCCGTCATAGAAACGCAACTGACGTACTAGCGCGCTGAACCGGCACGTGGAAATTTTAAGAAGCCCTACACTTTTTTATATATAATTAAAAAATGTCATCTTTCCATGGAGCGTGAAGGGAGGTGGAGAAAATTTCTTTTGTCCCCTCTCCATTGTCACCCATCCTGGATCCGCTTGTAAAAACGTTTTGAAAAATAAATAAATAAATTATTATTCTTATTATTATTGTTGTTGTCATTTTTTATTGTCGAATTTTGTCATTTTTTCAGATGTTACTCGCGTTGTCTGTTATCATCGAACTGTCAGTCACTGTGGCAGCGGGAGAGTGGGAAATAGATGGCGCTGTGGTCAACATCAATGGCGCTTTTTTCGGTTTCACTTGTAGTGACATTGCTGCACCAGATGGACGTGCATACCCAGAGTACGTAACTCATTTGTCACAGACATTAGGACTCTGTGTTGATTCCAAAGAAACGACAGCGACATTACCATAGGGTTGTATTCTATTGAGAGATGTTTTGAACTTGAAATAAGCCCTACCAAAATGGTCGAACGTTACGTGATCCTGTCAATTTCATCCATCAAAGGCAGCTTGGAATCAACGAACGCTGTTCAACTGCAATAAACCCTGTTGTTACATATGTATTTGAAAGCATGTGGCGATCCGTTTTAATGTTTTCCAGCATATATTTATTAAAGTAACGCAAAAAAATGCCATATGCGGATGGATCTATAATGCGGACACATCTAAATACATGTGCATTTGATAACAAGCAATGCACATACTTTGGAAACCGCAAAGCGTAATGTACTTAAACTGTTGAGGCATTTTAGGCATATTGATTATTTTCTAAAAGTGGACCTGCAACAAATACAACTTATCTGTGATAAACAATTACTGTTTACCAAAAATGATAAAAGCCAGATGAATTTGACATCTAACTTGTAAAGTAAGAGAAGTACATATAGTCTTTTGCTTAACTTGGAAACTTTTTACCTAATGAGATTTCGGGCAAGGCATAATCGATTTTCTCTTTGTATGGTGTATTTGTAGTCATTTTAACGTTTGGTTTATTTGTCATTGTAATGTATGGCGTACTTGTAGTCATTGTATTGGGTATTTGTAACCATTGTATGGTGTAATTGTAGTCACTGTAAGACACCAGCACTGCTTCAAAAGACTGAACGACCGAAACCGACCACGCATGCGCCGCCCGACACAACCCCAGTATACAATGCGAGCACATGGGATGAAGATTTAGACAAACAAAATGTTCAAGTAACAAACGGGTAGGTCGAAATGGAGTTTGTTAAAAGGCAGCCTTTATTGTACTAGGGCTAGTTGGTTTAAAAACCGTTTTCCTGAAAACAAGAAGAGTGACCTCTAAGGATATTATTTTACTTTAAGTTTGACTGAATATATTTAAATGGCATTTGTTGTCAATACGGTTGAATATAGGGAACCCATTGCGTACATGCTTCTAAAGGTTCCTACCCTACCAAAGGCTTACCATTTTAAGTTTGTATATCTACTCGTTTGAGAAAGTCACGAATGACACAGCTTAGTCAAATTCCAGTGTGATTTACTTCTTAGTGTGAACAGACCGTATAAAGTCATGTTCAATCCAATCCGTTTCAGAGAGCGCGATTGCACCAGCTGGTGTTACTGGGTGGCACCCACGTGGGTCTGGGGTGAAGGTCATTGGTGGCCAGTGATAAAGACCAGCACTCCTCAGTTCCTGAAATATTGCTTTTGTTCGTAAGTAAACAAGTACATGCACTCCCACTTGCTGACGCACATTGCAGTGTTAAAGTGCGTATAATTCAGTAATTCATTAGCAATAGAAAACATCTGAATACAAAAGGGAATAAAAAGTACGTAGAGAAGGCAACTTTTGAGGCATATCGGTTCTTTAGAACGTTGTTGTCATTACTAATTACTTATTAATTGATAAACTTTTTTATGAATACCTCCTTCCATCTGCTATTATGAAATACTGGTTATTATTACAGCATTTTCTATACAATTCAGGCCCATCGACCAGAGGTGTACCCACTTCCTTCCCAATAACTTCCAAGACCCGTTCCGGTCTCCGGTGTCCGTGTGTTCTCGGTGTTCTACAGACTGGGCGTGGAGACGGGTCTGGGTGTGGGACGACGGTAACTGTGACGCACACCAGGTACGTTGTGTGTGCACAGTTTTTTTCTACGGTTTATTCTTCTGTGCAGGGTAACAAAATACATATACATATATAAAACGGAACACTGCAATTTTTTATTGTTTGATAAAGGTAAATTTGTAGCTCATGTGCCAAAGAAAAAACATGAAATGCCCCGGGGGAGACACAGAAATGGAGACTTTAGAAGATGGCGTGATACAACCAGAGAGAGAGAGAAACGCAGTGTCGGTGGGCAAATGAAGATACCACCATTCATCTGAAGAATACAAGAAACGGGAATGATTCTTACTAAAACCCCATCTTCCTAAAATATAAACCTTTTAAAATAGTTTTTAATTCCACTCTTCTTTGCTTCATTCTTTAATGTTCTACACCTTAGATGTGATTTTTATATACATATGAATATAATGGTACACGTACAAGTATAAACAACAAATATTGTTCCTATACTTGTAGAAAATACAATCTACTGGAAACTGATCAGACACGAAATCCATGATATGAAAGGTGATAATTGTTGTAGGCTTATAAGGGTCAAGAATGGAATGTGACATAAAACCTATATGTAGATATTATATATTTCAGCGGTGGTTGAAGGTACCCTCTGGATGCTACTGTACCCTGCTACACGCGGAGTATTGTTTGTCTACAGATATACACTACCCCTGGGACTACAGGCTACCGAACCTGGAGACTACCGACGAAGACGAGGGATCCTAAATAGTACTATGTCATTAGAATAAAACAGGGGCGGATTGAGACCGTCTTCTGGGTCTTTCGGAAGACGGTCAGATTTTCAAGTTTACATTGACGGGTATCTAATTTTTTTCTGTCGGAAGACGGCCAAAAATGCATGATGCATTCAACAAAGATAATTTGGAAGATTGTCAGAAAATAGCTCTGGATCCGCCCCTGTAAAAGACTTGGTGACTTTTAAATACAAAAAAAACATGATGGTGTATGTCATATTAGTAATTATTTTTTTACATTCTGTAGATCTAGGAAGGGACCTTCGGTAGCTTTTACAAAATGAAGTGGTGGGTTTCAGCCCATCTCATAAACAGGACACACCCTGTCCCCCCACCCACCCCCATACATATCCAAATATCCCAGCTCCACTGTTTTTGCACGCAATTTTATTTGTAGGCGGGAGGGGGTTAGGGAAAATAGTTGAGGGTAAGAGGGCACACACATTCTTATAATAATAATAATAATAATAATAATAATAATAATAATAATAATAATAATTTAGATGTGCCAGTAGTCAATAAATATCTTTAAAAAAAACAATATGCATTCCAAAATGAATAATAACACAGGACTGATGAATTTGAGAAAACGTAGCTTTCTCCGATTCTCATGCGTTTCCTACATTTTGAACGTCAAACCTTTTAACTTCTGAAAAAGTTTCAAGTTGACATTGGACAAGTGTCCAGTATTCTGTCGATTTTATATAACACCAGTGTAAAAGCCTAATGAATTCAAATAATAAAAATAATGGGTCCTAAAACTTGCCTCGTGCTTATTTTATGTTTCAATTCAAGCATGAGGGAAGGTGGTGAGTGAATTTACTTCATGCTGTCAATTTCACACTCGTTTTTTGTTTTGAAGCCAAGGCTGTGAGTATGATTGAAAATCGCACCAATCACACTTCTGCTATGTCAACAATCGCAGTTATTCACTAACGTTTTAGTGATAGTATTCACTTACTTTGGAGAAAAATATCAATGAAACAGCTACGTTTCACTCTTGGCACAAGAGCATATTCAGGCTAAATGGAAGTTAAGTGTTGGTTTACCTGTGCACACTCCTCACTGAAGGGTAGTAATTTGTCGGGATGACTGGGCTATACATGGGAGAGGGGGGCAGAATGCATTCCTGGTCCCGATAACTAACTCATTTGTTACACAGCACAGACTACACTAATGCCCATTTAGAAGTAATGTTGCACGAGAATATAAAATACACATTTATGTAACGCACTGCATATGCAACAGGTCTACCATTGGATTTTTTTAAATGTGAAAACCAATAAGGCTCACTTGTATTTGTGCTTTAGTGCCATCGGCTTTACCAATGGATAGCGCGTTAAATAACACGTTGTAAAAATGATTGGGATAATTTTATTTATTTATTTATTTATTTATTTATTTATTTATTTATTTATTTATTTATTTATTTATTTACACTCTTTAGCATTTAATTTATTTATCTACATATTTATTCTACTTTCGAAAAGTGCATGCTTCAATTTCTTCAAGTTAAAGCAATGGAAAAGGCTGCAGCCTAGTAAACCGTCCTGAATATTAAAAGACAGTTCCAACAAAACAAAACTATAAAATAAATTTCAACGAAACTTTAATTGATACTACACTATACAAAATCACCTTATTTTGGCATATGGGAGATTTGAGTTCAATCAAATTAATAAATTGAAATTATCTGGTATAACATTTAGGTGGAGTTCAGTGAAAAACTGAGGGTCTAAATGCGCAAAACAGCAATTAACCGTTTTATTTCATACATGGGATTCTTCCAGACTACGATAGTCAGTTGGTAACTACATTTAGAATCAGGATGGGGCGATTTTCTTTACTTTTAATGTCACTCGAGAACCTTTTAAGTTGTTTTAGAATTAATGCTTAACATTTACAAGATTTTCAATGCATTATGAATTCAGATAGATGTCTGTCTAGTCGAATTTTTATGGGAGTCGTATGTTGCTATTATGGCAATGATTTTGGAATTCATTGTAAAAGGGATATTAAAAAAGCCATGGAAGAAAATAAACTTGATATTTGAACAATGTATTTGAGTCAATACTGTGAAGCAGTGTAATTGCAGGATTGCATCACTGAAATCGACGTCCAGTACGTTTACTTAAGTCTGGTTCTGATATTCTTTATATTCTTGATATTCACCTTAAAACTGAAATAAATTTTAAGGAACTGTTCTAAAGATTCACCAACCGAGCTATAATTATGAGTGTTCATTTTACTTCCAACCTCCAACGTCTGAAGTTGATTTTCTTTAGAAAAAAAATTTTATATATTCAACTCACTTACCACATGTACATGGAGTTGCTCAATGCGACAAAATACTTGCACCATACTTTACGTAGCCTTAACTAAATTTCGGTGAGCGGAAAAATTATTTTATCTAAGCAGTAATTGCGCATCGGTTCCTTTTAATAAAAAATACTTTACAAATTAAATTGAATATGTTAATATAAACTGTGTTTTGTTCTGTCTTTATTCATTCTTTATGCGTATTTACAATACAGGCACATCAGGGCGTACACTGAGTGGTTGATGTGGGATCCCACAGGGTGAAATGTAATGGGAGCATATTCATTTTTAATGGAAGTTACGTGACTTTGAAACGGGTCAGTTCCATACTGTTCTAGTTGACATATTTGTTATTTCAATTACTTTTTTTTATAACGATGGTAGTTTAAAAAAATTAAAAGAAGTAAAAATCCCCAAATTCGATTGTAAGGGTAAATAGGTATGGTCCTTTCTGGCCAAAATAATTGCGAATGTTTGTCAAGTATGTTGCGCTCCATGTGGAGAAATAATGTAAAATTATGTATGTACTATTGATGGTGTTATAGAATCTGATTTTTAAAAAGTTCATTGTCGTTGTTTATAAGAGTGCTGCTAATATTTATACCCAATGCTATTATAGAATGACATTATAGAATGACATTGGTAGGTTTTCGATTAGTTTTCTGTCCCTCACTTTCTCTCCAATTGAATTTTATCAGTGTATACGTAATCAAGGCGTACGTCGCTTTCTTTTCCTATCTCGTAAACATTGTTTTACCCTTTACTAATTACTACTCATTTTATTTATTTAAATTCACAGAAAGAGTAAACATATTCAAGAAGACTACTAACAGAGGGTAGGATAGGCAAATACATGCATCATAACGACATGCTATTTCAGATTGGTTTTAATTGCTTCCTTATTGGCCGTTTTAAGGGCATTCAATATGGCCACCATTTATGGATAGTTTAATATATAGCCACATTAAGAAAATAATTTGTCATGACTTTTCTATAAAGTTGCATTCACTTTCACTTCCGTGATTTTTGTATCAAATTTGTGGAGTTTTGTGGTCACCTCTTTAAGGACACGATGTTTTTTCTTATCCACAACTTTAAACCAATTATGTGACTATGAATAGAATTCTATTTAAAATTGAGTACTGAAATACCCAGATTACTAAGGGAAAAAAGGGGGGAGGGGTTACATTGACCCCGGCCTCCTTTTCTCGTGAAAGGAAATCTTTTGAAACCAAAACAAAGTGTGATATTTGGGATATTTTGCAGTATGGAACATATGGAACATACCTTTGTAGCCCTTGCAAAATGTCCTCGTTTTTTTTCTTTTTGGAAAGAGCAGGAGGTGATCAGTTTATAGCCATGTTAATACGTTTTGACTATTAAAATAACCTCTTTCTTCAAACCATTTTAATCTCTTTTGGTATATAGATATTACTTCATACTCATATTCATAGCCATATTTCTCTAATGATTTTGGAAACAGCCCAATCACACTGGTATATTTTGTATACTATATCTTGCGTATTTAATGTATATAATACATATATTACAACGATGCTTTATTACAACTGTAACGTTAATGGTACTCTGTATCATCGTCATGTGACAAATTTGTGCAAAATCTTATTTCAGTGGGTAAATATAAATGGCTTACATTTATAACAGATAAACATGTTTTCGTTTATTTGTTTGTTTCTTTGTTTGGTTCCTTGTTTTCAAATTAACTATGATTTTTTCATTTGCTTTTTTTTTTTTTTTTTTTTTTTTTTTTTTTTTTTTTTAAATTTTTTTTTTTTCCTANCAGAGTGCTTCAGCTAGTGTGAGCAAAATCAATTCTTCGCTGACAGACATTGTTTGGTTGGCTTCACCTTTCTTTGAACAGTATCAAGTAAGTTGACAGCACTAAAGCACAGATCACTTGTTTTTTTTTTTCTTTTTTTTTTTGTTTATTTAAATATCTATTTTCGTGCATATCCCACCTGTGCAGCTTTCGAACTAATATCAACCCACGTTCATATAAACTAAAAGTCCTTCCTCATCTTAAATTTATGCAGATTAAATTCGAATTACATAGGCTTATTTTCAATAAAGTTCACGCAAGGAAAGCCAAGCCGGCCATTAGTGGCTTCAAATATATTTATTTAATTTGGCAATGTGGGTGCTGCTATTGCGCCCCGATGAATAATGTTTGTCACGGTCTTCTTATAAATATACGTCTTCATCGTAAAGAAATCTCAAACACCACTGCTGGTAGACTTCATCAAGAAAGATACAAAAAACCGTCAAGGTGAGTAAACACATGTTTGAGATATCAAATTTTCAAGGTATTTAATCTAAAGCGAAATGTTGGCACCATAGGGTTTTTAGAAGCAAACAGAATTAGATAGTTGTTAATTTGAAACAACAATACCCGATTGCGACATGGAAAATTAACAGAATTAGGAAATTCATCAAGCTGTCTGATTTATTATAATTGGAACGAAATGGGTATGGATGGTTTAAAGGGAACCTGCGGTTTTATTTCTGAAAAATGCTGCATGTGTAAGTACCGAAATTCAATGTCAAAAATCTTACTAATGTCAATGTGGAGGGGTGGCGTCAAACTTTATTTCATTTAATAAGCATCAGCAGCATTAATGAGAATAAATTTCTGTTCTGGGCATATATTTTCCACTCAGTATTATAGATGTATTGTGACAGTTTGAATTGGAACAATGTAGCTTAATATCACAACTTTAGCATGAAGGACAAAATATTCTGATTTGTATTTATATTATATTATCCTTCCATAATATTATACTGTCGTCATGCTTTGGAGATCATTGTAAAGAGAAAATTGTTTAGGAAGAATTTTTTTCAATAAAGAAAATATATTTTTATAGAAAAACTATAAGTTAATATGTAATATACAGTATATAGGCCTAGCCTGTCATTATATATACATCACAGAGTTATGTGTTGTTTGTTGCACTACATTCTATTACAACAGAGCTGTTATTAGCATGTCTCAAGGCAGACGTTATTAGTAAAAGAATACTTTCACATTTCAGATGAGACACAGCTTCATCTTCTCATCGTTTCTCCTTGTCCTGTGTGTTACGTACGTGACAAGTATGGGCATTGCCGGTGCAAGGGCAAAACAGAAGAGAGAGAGCTCTACTACAGATCTTGAGGGTGATTTAGACGGCAAAAAATTTGACCTGCCAAAAGATGGTGAGACTATTACCTGTGGTTATTCCGAAAACCAAAGAACGGACCCCGATGGAAACGAATACCCAGGATATAGTCAGTGAGTATTTGGGAACATACAAATCTGCTTCTTGAGCGGGTGCGCGCGCTCGTGTTTGTGCATGTGCTTCTGTGAATGAGTTTTTAAGCATGCGTGTGTATCTCTTTTGTGAATGTATTTTAAAATGATTATCTTTCCTTTTGTGTGTGTGTGTGTGTGTGTTTGTGTGTGTGTGTGTGCAAGCGGTTCTGTGTATAAATATGAACACATGTGAGTGAGGATTTGTGTTTGTAATTGTGTGCGTGTGGATGCATGACCATGTGACAGCTTGGTTGTGCTGATATGACTTGGCGACGTTAATGGACAAAGATACGTTTACAACTTTTTCAAAGTAGTAATGCGTTTATCCTCACATTCGTCTAGGGACATACATTCAATTTTAAAAAATATTTTCATACCTGTAGGTAAGGTAAACCTTACCGACATACTGTATAATCATTTTCACATAAAAACAATGAAACAAAAACTCTCTCCGGCTTTAAGGCTGGATAACAACGAATCAACTTATTGCATATGTTTTTTAAACAATAAGCAATAAGGAAATACAATGATTAAACCAAAAGATGCAGCCCTATTTACAAATTAACATTGCCACCTACTCATTTTGGATCACACGGTTCTAACTGTAATAGATATGTACTTTTAAGTGTCTCTTAAAGAAAGAAGTGTGAGCAACGTTTATACTTAACATCATATACACTACAGCACTCTCAGCTATCGATAAAATCAGTATTGAAAGCCTCAGTGGCTTCACGTCAGTGTGTCTTAGCGTCTTTTAATGGCGTCGTTGTGAGCATAATCAGTTGAATGCAGGAAGTGAAGCGTTTATGAATAATCGCAGCACACAAACATTGCGACAATTAACACGCACGTGTTTGGAATACCGCGCAGTGATATTACAGTTGAGCTACATCTAGCTTTGATCTTCTTACACCATCACTATTCGAAACAAACGTCTTACTTTTTAAAAGTTGCTGAAGTCTTTGCAAATGAGATTTACATGAACGCAATTATTGAAATAACACAATTAACCTTAAGAATTGTTGACCGTTTTTATATACAACGTACCTGAATTTACAGTTCCCTAAAGATACACGGTAATTTTATTAAAATGAATACCAGAACAGTGCAACGCCTTAAAAACATCCACAAGCCACAGGTTGAGTTGTTTGTTCACATTTATTTCCACCCAGGTGCGGTGCAAGAGCAGCACAGGCCGGCGAGAAGCTGGGTAATCCCGGCGGGAGTGGTGTCTCTGCCCAAAGTGGCGGTATAGGCGCTGCCAGTGCAGGGGACGACGAACCGGACCCCGAAGATCCAAACCAACCCCCCTCAGAGGGTGCCGGGAGAAAGAAGAGAGAGACCGTTCACGGAGGGTGAGTTTTTGCCTCTTAGTGGTTTTAAGGTGTTCATATTTGTATCCTGAATATGTGTTTAAGTGTTTAAAGGGATAATAACTCTTCGTTTTGGCCAAAAAATGAATTTTCCTGGAGTAAACAACAATTTTCCCATGCTTACCAATGGTTAATGAATCCATTTTTACATTCAAAGTTAGTCCCTGGTTTTTTTCTAAAAAGTTTGTTTTTTTTTTAAAATCTCTTAAGAGATTATAACAGAGTATAGCCATCAATGGAGGTCACGTGATCTGAAGACAAGCTCAGATATCAGAATAATAGCTATAACTGCTGTTTTCGTCGTAAAACAGAATATATTATATTTCTATGAGTTATTCACATGTTTTTATTGTGAAATATAGATTTCATACGAAGAGTTATTATCCCTTTAAATATACAAATATATTCGCCATTTGCTTTGTATAAACCTGTACTTACAAAACCAAATGATAGCATTTGCGTCCATAATCTGTCACAATTTTCTGTATAGAAAAACGACCAGCTAAAATACAGTTGTCACCTTTGCAGAAAAGCATAAATGAAATTGAAAAAAAAATGCCCCTGTTACAAATGAAAAATGAAATATGATATATATATAGATATCAGTATAGTATTTTTGTTATTCACTGTACGACGTTGGATTCTAAAGCAAACTTCACTGACTTGCTGTTTACATCTCGCAGGACTTCGGAATGTAACGAGACTTGCTTCTGGGTGCAGCCGTACTGGGTTGTATGGAGAAGTGCTTGGTGGCCCGTCGTCCAGGCGCCAAAATTCAAACAGTGGCTGAAGTACTGCTTTTGCTCGTAAGTAATATTATTCTTCTTCAGGATTTATTTAAAAAAGTAAAATCATATAACCAGACTCAGCTACACGTAGTTATATATATATATATATATATATATATATATATATATATATATATATATATATATATGTAATTTGATCTTGATACATATGGTCATCTAAGTTGATAAGCATACACGTACTAATCAAACTTACTGAATTGATAACATTTCTCCAAATCTGTCATCTTCATTTTCAGTTCACTGAACCAGAGTTGCACCCACTTTATCGAGGGAAGCCAAGCGCTGCCCGGCCCGTGGTGGATGCCCCCTGTTAGGATGGCTTATTGCTCCAAGTGCACGACAGAGTGGGGCTGGAGACACATCTGGGTCTGGTGGCGGTGCAAGCCCATTCGTATCTGGCTGCAGGTAATACTGAATGGTGTGATTATGGGAGAGAGGTACAGGGACAGAGCCCTGCCTCCCTGTTTCAATATGCAAACCTGCCTGGTGATGCAAAAAATATTTTAAACCTCTGCGCTTCTGCTCAAGCGTTTGTATCTGTCTTTTCATTACCCCACTCTTTCTTCAAGCAGAGAGAGAGAGAGAACACATTCAGACATTTTGTCATAAATACCCAAATATATCAACAGAGGTGAATCGTTTTCAATATTTAACCTGTAGATGGTTGTTTTCACATTAATAGCTATTTGAACAATGTTTTAACATTTATTATTGAAATGATACTGATGTTAATAAGGATGATGACAATGATGATGATGACTCCCTCTGATGTTCTCATTTTTCAGATACCAGTTGGCTGTTGTTGCGGCCTGAAAGGAATCCACTATTGCCCAACGATCGACCCGCCAACCAGTTTCAAACCTCCCGTTGGTCCCTTTTTTCCAGTATAGACCATAATGAAATAGTGAAGGCATCGGATAATGTTATTCCTTTCGAACTTTTCTCGGTTAGATGCACTTAAGCGTTTGAGAACTTGGTTTACAAAACTGACCCACTTTAACTCGCACTGAACAGGAACAGGTTCGAGTATAAATTGGTTATAAGACAATTATACAGAAGACAAATTAAACTCTTTCGGTGCCAAAGGGGTTCTTTCATTGCTCAGAACCATCCAAAATGATATGCTAATTAACAGCGCGCCTTCATCTAATAGTGTCAAATGACGTTTAACAAAAGCAAACTGTTTTCAAGTTGGTCTAATGTGATAAATGTCTGAAAAGTTTCAAATGATTTAAAGAATATAGATATATATGTGGCTCTTACAAAGGTCTTCTGGATAGTGGTCAAAACTGGGTCAGGGTTTCTGAAGTGCCAGTGCCATGATGCCAGTTTGAGAATCGCTTTTATTAGATGATTGAGAGTTTTACGTTCAATGGAATAACGTAAACACCTTCAAGAAATTGTCGAAGAACTTGAAAGGAATTTACTCAAGATAACAGACACCGGTGCATAAAATATAGTCAACTTACAATTAAGTTTTAATAGTTATAAAGGGATCTGCATAACAGAAACGACGACCTAGATTTAAGCTTTCAGTACACGAGAAACATTTTTACAATCATGTTAACTTGCAATAAATTCTTAAATTTTCTTAAATTATTCTTATATTTTAAGAGCTACGGATCAAAATTTATGATGCATGTAATGCCTTGTTAGCATTTGATAAGAATCGTATTTTGAAAACGGAATACGGATTTATCTGATAAGATTAAATGGAAATTTTAGTACTATGTTGTTCTCACGTGTCATGTTTTTTTGTTAGAAGTAAAAACAACAGCAACGTATGTTGGAAAGCTATTAAGTTGTTTGCAACTGTATATACTTGAAAATTGAGCAAAGCGTACAACGAGCCAATCCAATAACTTGTTACTCTCGCTCCAGCGAAATGCCACATGAATAATAAATGTTTACAATGGCAATTATTGTCTAAATTCTTTGATGACTTTCTGAAATTAATAAATTGAAATCATCCAAAAAGAAATTCCCTTAATAAGGTACGTGCGCCAAAAGCATTGGCGTTTTTATACATAGTTTTAGTAGAAATATATAGATGCATTTAAAACTCAACTAATCAACCTCAGTTTTAGAAGTGTTTACTACACCTAGACTTAATTCTTTAACATAAGTGTCATATTAGCAGCACTATAGTAAGGGCGCCTTCAGTAGTGCTAACCCACCACCCGCCCACCAACTGACCGTGTAATTTAAATAACACTTTCTTATCAGCTAGTCTTCAAATCGCCAGCTGACCGTGTAAATAACACTTTCTTGTCAGCTAGGCTTCAAAATAAAGGGGCAGCCTGCATTCGTTTTCGCCCGTACTGATTAAGGGGCCAGCTCGTTGTTGTGGGCAACAAGTTAATTCCAACTTCTTGTTGTGGGGTCATCCTGAATTCCAACGCGTGACTTTCCGTTACCATGGTCGATGATTGCATTGGATTTTTTGCAACCATGCACGCTTACGACTGCGCTGTGATTGAACGGCCAGCATTCAATACGTACATGTTTCCTCTTATAGTAATTAAACGCAATTTTTATAAATTATATCTAACAAAAAAAAAAAAAATAATAATAATAAATAGATAAATAAATAAATAAAATAAAATAAAATACTAATAAAAAAATAATAATAAGTTGAACATTCTAGAATTGGAACCTACTTATGAGGGTCAGCTGTTTCCAAGACAGCGGAGTTACCACGCAGCCGCTTCGTTGGTCCCTTCTCAAGTACTTTTAAGTGAAAATAAAAGAGGTGCTATTGGCGACATAGACTTTATGATAGTGACCTCCAATATATTTTTGTCAAATCGATCACTTATGCCATAAACTATACCTTTTAGTGTGTAAAAGGTAATTTGCCCAGACCCACGCGAGCCCGCATTCGTTTTCACGCATTCTCGATTGCAAAATCAGCTAGTTTTGTGGGGAATAAATAAGATTATATAGCTTGTGTATTTGAAACGTTTTCAACTTGATTTTGGAGCCGATGGGAGCCAGTTGTATGACATACAGAGACATATAAAAATGACTGTGGGACTTTTATAGGTTCTCCAAGGTAACCATGTAATAAGACCTCCGTATAATGGGGCGGAAGGAGATATTATTCACCCGATTAAGCAAGTACTTTTGTATATTTTATTTTGAATATGGATGAGTTAATGAATACATATCATCTCTGCATACATGGATCCTTCCATCTGATGACAATTATTCCACATGCTACAGGCCCCTAAAATATGTAATTTTCCACATTTCATTTCTGTTATAAAAATCCATCTTCAAAACAACCTCAAATGACCCCAAAAATTTGGTCAAGGTTGAGCTACTAGCCAACTTTACTGGGATATTTCAATTAGTATTTATTGGTGTAATGTCCTGTTTTCTGCAGAACTTTTTAGAGAATTTTTAGCTCCAGATCAAAAAAGCTATACACACATTTGTAACTCGTTCACTTTGCGCATACATGTACGACCCTCTAATGACAGTATTTGTTGTGACGCGTTTTGGACTCGATCTAGTTTAGCTCATCCTTAAATTATGTAAACTAACTTGGTTTTCTAATGAAAACAAGGCGCAACACACTCATACATACACATCATTGTGTGTACGTAACTCATTAAATACCAATTACAATATAAAAGTAAATTTTTATAGTCAGTCTTAGTGTTTCCTCAATTAAGATATTCCGAGTACAATTAACCCAAGCCCTGGTGAGTTAAATTGCCTGCAATGGCCCTGACAACTGGTGCGGCAAATTTCACCATAATATGGGAAAATAAGGACAAGTTTTGACGTTTAAATTGCATGCGTACGACCTCAGATGAGGGCACGTCTCCTTATAAAAGCGTTACTAGAAAGACTGGTTCAGATTGAAAGGAAGGTAGTGGCACGGAAGGACTAATTCATATCAATTTATCTCAGTAAGTGGAACTTGGTCAGCAGAAGGTGAGTTTGATACTTTTTGTGTGTATTAAAAATGTGCATTTTAAATTCTGTATGTCTAAAGTATGAAGAATTGTAAGAATTTTATCGTTCCTCTTTTATTATTATTAATATTTTTTTTTATTTTTTCATTTCTTATAAGTTCCAAAAAGAATATGGATGGATTTCAGTATGCAACCTATAATTGACTTTTCATTGGTTGAATAAAAAATATAATCTATCGTATATAGGTACAGACATTCCTGCACATGTTTGACAAAACAGTCTTGGGCAAAAATTTATATTTAAGTTCGGAACAGTGCAATACCGGACTGCACAGTGCAGTGCAGTACAGTACAGTAGAAGTTTCTATTCATATCTTTCAGAAAATATTATTTCTTTTATAACCATAAGTTTTTTTCTTAATTGTTTGTGTAAAATAATTATTCAAATTAATTTGTCTAACATATATGCTCTTTTGGGATTAAATAATTCTTGACTAATTCGAAAAGAAAAGACAAAAATAAACAAACTTTGAAAATTTCATCAGAAAATTTATAAGAAATTCACAGTATTAAGGAATTCGCTTTTGTGTTAGGATATTTTATTATAAGCAAATGGTAAAACCAAATTGTACTTTTGATAATATTTTCGCACACTCCATCTCTAGATTCAAGTCTAAACGAAATGCGTGACATAGACATTGAAACGAGTGTTATAAAGTGAATGTAATGTACAAGGTACATGTCTTTTTACACATGCAATTAGACGCGAAAAGTTAACGAGGCAATGGGCGCCTTAAATATTTGGGATACCATATAAAAGCATTAAAATTTGAAAATAATGATTAAAGGCTGGCATTAACCACAGTTTACATGCGATGATGTGATTAAGGATATTCAAAGTATGTCTATCAAGAAGAAACATGGTTTTGCGTCCTCATGGGGTCACATTTGTCATGTCATGTATGACGTTTAAGAGGCAATCTGTGGCCATTTAGGCCCTCACGATGTGGAGCCTATTGAAGTTTGGGCATTATGTATATGTATATGATTTTTTATAACATAGTCACATATTCAACAATGGGAGGATGATGGTAAATTGGAAAATAAAGACAATTTATTGTGAAATGTCAAAGAGAAAAATGCGAACGAGGTAATATATATATCAAGGGTGTTGAACTTCCAAAAAGCCCTTTGAGCGCTCATTGAGCTCGTTGATATTTCTGGTAGTTTGTCTCTTTTACACACAGCTAGTGCTCTTAAAAGCCTTGAGTTGAACACTACAATAGGCCGAATCGGGGCATTGGTAGCCTCAACACTTGTTCTATAAAACATGGGTATATTTGGGACGAAGAAAGCCAAGATACGTAGTCACTTATGTTCACATATGATCTAAATCTACTGTGTGTGAAAGAGACAAACTCACAAACTCAACGTACTACAGTCTTGGGAGTTCAAGTAGATTTTCTTTACCTTTGCCTTTCAGAAACACTGGCCCTGTAGCTGACATCTACTGTTCTTATCGATACAAACCCCAGTCCAGTATAGACAAAATAATTGCTGATAGGATTTTCTTTCCAGGAATAGAAACTAACCTTATTAGCATATTTTACATAAGTGTTGTTCCTTGGAAACTTATTGACGTCAGTATTAGGCAGGAATTTATATAGGCGCTACCTTAACGCATGCGCCACCGCTTCGGTGATTTCATTGCCTTGGTGACAAGGCGTGACGGTATAGGAATGACATCCAACTTACCTGAACTGGAACCTTTCACGCATGTTTTACGACGAATTTTGGTGTGAGGGTTCTGTAAAGGTTGAAAAAATTCAAGATTATTGCTTATATTATGTAATTGCGTCAATTTTTCAATGTTAAAACACCATGTTCTGACTATGAAAACAATCATCTTCATGACCTTTGTTAGTTTTGGAAGTTTTGGCGATTAATATCCAGAGTTTCAGAGACCATGAGATATTTTCTTGACCCCTCGCCGGTGCTGTGCCCTCTTAAAACGGTGACGGAGAAACAACACCTTGGATGCAAAGAAAATGTTAGTAATGGCAACAATTATAACAGTGATGGTAATAAGAAAAAATCCGTGAGTACTAAATAATATATGCATATGCCATTATGTATATCGACAATGTAAAAAAAAAAAGATAATAAAAGTTTGTTTTTTCTTTGTGAATTTTAGATGAGGTCGTTGCAGCTAGTAATCCTAGTGTTTATTGGGGTATGCCTGTCCGCGGCAGTTGATGGCAGTGTTGAGCAGCAATTGCGCACTGCCAGTTTAATTCTATCGGGTCCAAGCGGTGAATCTATCCGGTGTGGAGTTGATGATAGGGCTCAACAATCAGGGTAAGTTCTCTCTCTCTCCGATCACCCCCTCTCTCTCTCTTCTAATATTCATACCTTATGGAACATAACATAAAATAATATGAATGAATAAAAAACGTAGCCACGTTTCTTTCTCGCGTAGCCCTTTGTTGAAGAAAATATATAATAATAATATGGACACATGTCAGCAGCAACAACTATAATAATAATTATGTGTGCTGTCTAGAAATTTTGTTTTGTAATTGTTTCGTGCACGGAGAATGCATTCCAAAATGATGAAAGGGCAGCTGTATAGTGGATTGTGGCATTACATTTTGTTTAGAAGGACAATTATAAAGTCACCAAAAATGTCGGCACTACTGCATTTATTATTTTTCGATTAGAATTGCATTTTGATGAGTACTTTGTAATTAATTATATGAAAAGAAAACACACAGTAAGTATAACACTTTGATTCATGAGTATAATGAATGTCGATATAGCGCATAAAAGCAGTACAGTGACTGCGATTTTCTTGGGTGAAGATTCGCGTTATGCTTTAAATAACAGATGTTAAAGCAATCGAAATACCTGGAAATAACTAAAACAGCACAAACTACAGTCAAGGTAACAGAATTCTCATCATCGTATATTTTTTTATTATTGATGTCTGATGATTGTCATAGACTCAACTGATTTCTCCCCTCACCTTTATCTGCCATAGGTGTCCGGCAGCAAATGCTCCTGGTGCAGCAGTGAGGGCCAGTAGCATTAGCGCAGCAGCAGCGCCGCCTAGAGTCCCTAATGCAAATAATCCACCGCCAGAACGTGTTACTCGTAGGACGAAAAGACAAATTGCGCACAGCGGGTAATAAAACTTTTTTATGTATATTAGAATCATTTAAACATGTTCGCGCATAACGGAGGAATACTGATGATTAATACGATGCCAAAATTGCATTAGTACTTTCAACAGATAGTAATTGATTTATTAACCTAAAGATATATATTTGATTTATTTATATATAAATAGCTTATTGACTGATTTATTGCTCGATTTATTTCATTCACTGATCTCTCTGTGTAAATATTAATCCGTTTATTCAATCTCTAAGAATTATACATGATTTTATTTGTTCGTTTAATTTGTTATTACAAGTTGAATAATCATTCAATTGAATATTTTATCCTAAATGCACTCATTGATATGCAGAACGTCAGAGTGCCAAGAATGGTGTAAGTTCGTCAGACCATACAAGATTTGGGCATACAACAGATGGTGGAATGTAGTACAGACGAACAACTTTGCGCAGTGGTTGAAGTTTTGCTTTTGCAGGTAATGTTAAAATCAACTAGGGAGATCTTTTACCGTAAATCAAAACGAAAAGGCTTTGTAGCTGATAATAAATGTTTAAGTTAAACGCACATATGTATCTTATGAGTTATAAAGATATGAAAAAGATACAAACATACATATATGTAATAAAGGACAATTATTAAGGATAATTGGGTCCCTTGCAGTTATACAAGTTTGACCACGATTACAAGTTAAACCGTAGCTAAAAAAACCTTTAATCTTTTAATCTTTGAATGAGTACATATTGTATATGCTGAAATCTTGTAGTATCTCAGAGGCGAGATCGAATGGTACCAGAAACCCCATATTACCCCCATTCCACCCCCAGGATCGTCCTCTGCATTTTTTGTGCTCAAAAACTGTGGATTCTGTCTTTTTGACAACGTATTTTAATCTTCTGAGTTGCTTTCAATCATGTGTTTTTTTTTCAGTCAAAACTCCCAGGAATGCGTTCATTACCCCCCGGGGCAGAATGTGAACCCCTCTCAGTCCAGACAAGGATTATGTGCCAAGTGTACCACAGAGTGGGGCTGGCGTACCGTATGGGTGTGGCACAATTGTCAACCATTGCGTATCTGGTATCAGGTAAGGCCACCACGTGGTTGTCTATCTGTGTGTCTGCATGCCTGTCTGTTTGTCTCTTAAATAGGTTTATTTAAAGTTCCGCTTGGTACCTTGTCACTATGTTTTCTTCTTCTATTGTTTTCTTCTTTTGTCCTGGACAAATAATTTTAAAATTAAATCGGAGATTGTGATTTTTATTCATTGACCTATTCATTTGTCAAGTGAATAATCAGTACATTTATTACATTATTTGCTTGTTTGTTTATTCGCTTGTTCGTTTGTCTTATTTTTTACCAACTCAGTTTATTTGTTCGTTTGTTTGGTTATATGTTTCTTATCATTTAATTTATTTGTTAATTTATCGATTCATTCACGCCTATGATGAAGCTGAGAGTGGTAGGGCCTACGTTTACCCAAGCACAGATGGAATCTTTTAAACCTCATTTTTCATTTGCATACTGTATATTTTCCAGATTCCTGTTGGATGCTGTTGCGGACTGGTGAATGCTCGCTGGTGCACCATGCCTCCTTGGAGTTTCCCTTGGAATTTTAAAGCCCCGTGGCCATTCAAGAAATAAATCAAATACCGAACAATCTCTAACTACATGTAGTAGACAATTCGAAGGAAAAAAACAAAACAGATTTAACAGACTGAATGCTCGGTGAAAAAACTTTCTGCTTTTTTTTCATTTCACATTTCAGCTATTTGTATCCTTACCAAAGGTGATGCTGACTAACTTCTGTTAATTATGCCAAACAGTTACTGTTCAGGCCATCAACACTTTTGCTTTTATTTCGAATTAGATAAAGAACTGTGATTTTTTTATTTCAATTAAACCTGGTTTGACAGCATACATGTACGTACACACACACACACACACGCACGCACACACACACACACACACACACACACACACAGTGTGTAAATGTATTATGGCATTTAATATCAAACGTCAAACTGTATTGAATGTCTATATAATGTTAGTCTGATTTTATTTATTTATTTATTTGTATATCTATTTTGATGAAAGAGAACCTTTTGCTCGTATGAGTGCCAAGAGTCTTTGTACGAACCACACAATCACATGCTTCTTTGAAACCAAAAACGAAGATATATGTATTTGTGGTAGTTTTCGAAATCATACTTAAGCATGAAATTAACTTGTTTACCTCGTCACACTGAAGTACATCGTGTATAACATCGACATAGGCCTACATGTATCATCTTCTTTTTGTCAGAGAGATTGGTCGATAAAATGGTTGTGTTTTTCTTTATCACACGTAAACATGCGTTTCATTGCTTGAGGCAGGTAATGTAGGGCCCTACAAAACAATTTTAATGTCGCTAGGCCCTCAGTGTATAGCGAAAAAATTCCTTAGCTTTTATGTTTTAATGATTATGTCGTAGTCTCTATATAGTGAACATTTAACGTTGAAATGTGCGATTCACATTAACGTTTACCTCAATGCTGCACTTTAATGTGTTCTTTAAGGATTTTGTTACTGACTTAATATCAATTATTTAAATAAGAATGAAGCAATGCCACCTTTATGCAAAATCTCTAGGGTGGACTAGAAGACATGTATGGGTAGGTTGGAGAAATAAAACCATCATTTAAGATGTCTGCGTCTTAGCGTCGATATGTACTGTATGTACAGCACACATAAGGGTCATAGACCCCAGGGGTTGGGTGGAAGAGGCGCACTTTCTCCCTCTCAGAGATTTTTGAAAAACTAACTCTTATGTCAGTCGGCGTTTACAGGGTGTTCCAAATAATGTACCCGTGTGTCATTTCATAATCTACTCGACACACCTCTGTGTCCTTTAAATAACGTAAATTTTAAACCATCTAATTTTCAATAACTGTAATGGCGCAATTAAATTGTTTGCCAAAACCACAGTCTCGTGTGAGTATACGGGCTACCCGCATTGTGCTAGTTGAGCCAGGAATGCGTCGCTCCGTGACGCCGCGCAGTGCTATCTATCAGAGGATAAGGACTAATTCCCAATGAAAATTTCGGTCTACGTAGATCAATCCAACTGTGCGGGGCCTCTCGCAAAATGCAATCAGATTAACAAATTAATTCGCCCCTTTTGTTTCAAATGTTCTCGTATAATTACCAACTATTCTGTACTCTGCTCTTTACTCTACTCAAGCATTTAATCTCTAAATTTGATTGCAATCGACGAGAGTCCCCATGGAGTTGGATCGATCTACGTAGACCTTAAGGTTCATTGGGAATGAGCCCTTGGCTCATGGTTTGCCTTACTGTCGACTAGTTATCTCTTACTGTGACTCCCTTAAATTGGGGCATTTAACCAAATTGCCATACATTATTATGGTACCAACTTTTCGACAAAAAGATACCATCCTCTACTATGAGGAAGTTCTGTTATGATTTTCGGTTTTATATCACCCATACCTGGTAGTAATTGGGCACACATCTGTTCTTATTTCTAAAAGCTTTGTTATTTCTATGTACACCCATTTAAGAAATAAGGTTACAGTTAAGTATAACTGGAAGATCCATCGACCATAAAACACGTCGCATCTGGCAATTTTCTCGTGGCTCCCCCAAGCGAGCGCTAGATAAACACGCTTTACATCAATGCTTGTTACTGGAGGCAAATAAATGTTGGGAATTAATTGGTTTTGAGAGACGGGGTCCTCGTCTGTCGACGTATAGAGTGGATTTTCTTTGGAACATTGCAAAGAGCCCGGACCCGAACGGAGTCGTGTAGCTAGAGTTCGATCAATTTCGAATGACCACACAGGGCTCTTGAAAGAATTAATCTGGTAACCCGAAGAATCCAAGTGGAAATCTGAAAGTCAAAAGCACCAGAAGAAGGTACGTGATCTCTGCACAAATTACGAAATGTTGCCCCCATCGGCAAGTGCATGAAAATTTAATGGAATAATTCATAACGCGAATTGAAATGTGACGCCGAGCGATATCTGTAATGATGTCGGCTACGTAACCAACGGACGGTTGAACAGCTGAAGCATAGACAACGAAAAAGTTAATTAGCTGTAGAATTCATTGCTAAACATTAAGAATAAAGGAGATTTTTGTAAATTGAATAACAAAAATTATGAAGTAGTTATTTTTTTACGCTGCCGGAACTATTTTTTTAATTAAGGTGTCACCAAGCAGAGCCGTCAGTGTAATAACTCGTAGATACACATTGCCTATTTGATCGAACTCTCACACGATTTTACAAAATCTTCAATCGCCTTTTAAATGAACGTTCAACGCAGACATAAAACTTTCAGTTTTCGTTTGTAGTAGGCAACTTCATTACAGAGACCACATGCATTTAAAATAATTTGAGAAGTCTGAAACCATGATTTGATGTACCCCATTCTTGATTTCATGTACCCCATTCTAAAAACGCTCGCAGCGCTCCTACTTGTGAATCTTCACTGTTTTTTTTGCAGACGGCAGTCAACAGATAATTTTCCTTAATTCTTAACTATGCGTATAATTGTAATATGACGCAATTTTGGGCCTACTACTGATTTTGTCTGGACGCACCTAGTTTCACTCTTGCCAGATAACAGGCCACGCATGAGTTGTCAGTGTCCTTATTTAAATATGCCTATTTTCTCTTTACTTAAAATGAAATATGTGTAAAGCAATGAAAAAAGAAATTGCCTGAAACGTTATGAAAGGGACTTCTAAAAGATGCGTGAACTTTACTAGTTTGAAACAAATGAAAGTCAAATATGCAAAGTTGAGAGAGAGAGAGAGAGAGAGAGAGAATAGAGGCGAAAAGCAAGAAATAAGGGAATAAAAAGGAAGAGGAAGATCACATTGAGAAAATTGTTATTTAGTTTGATAAAGGATTTTCCTTAAAATAATGCGTTTTATTCGCGGATAACGAAATGTCCGGGGATTAATTGCTGACCTTAATTCCCAACCCACACCACCGTGTTTAAAGGACGACATCTATATCAATACTAAAGAGTGGTCCTGAATTTGATTCACAAAATGCGTGTGATGTATAAATCTATTGACTGGAAGTAATGGAGTCTACTTAATCTCGGTATTTCATGTGTGATATTCAGCATTAACGTCAAAATGTTGGAGAAACATACACTGGGGTTTTGCTAGAAGCTACTCAAGTTGTCAAAAAAGTCAAAACCTTGTCCCAAAACAACCTAGCTTATCATTTGCAAAAAAAAAAAAAAAAAAAAAAAAAAAAAAAAAACTTGGAAAGTTGAAAAATGTTCATCTTTTAGTATACTGAAAAAATGTTTCAAGAGAAATAAACAGTTTCATTCTCTCGCTTAATGTGCCGTGCACACTAATTATAATTAATCTTTAATATTTCTATTTCATTGTTTTTGCCTTTTTAAGAAAAGTTTTATTTTTAATAGAAAAAAAGGTACAAAAAGGCCACACTGCAGTATTTTTCCTCTCTCTCCACACATTCACGCGCTCGCACGCGCGCGCACTAACACACACAAGCATGTACCTTGTTGTTAAACTTGCTAACATATTCATGTTTTATCTGTCTTTTTTGTTATCAAAGTTCAATAAACAACTGAAGAAACATGTATGTTTTACATTGTTGGATCTCTGCTTCTTCCGTAGTTGTTATAAGACGTGCAATAATGTGCTTATCTTACTTATTATTTCATTTGCAGCCGATGAAGCGACCAAACGCCTTGCTATGCCCTGTGGGGTATTGTCTCTTACTGCTGATCCAATTTCTTCTTGTCGGTAAGTTTCGTCGTCACCACGCAACATTAATCCGGTTATTGATCACATACCACTAAGAGACGAGATAGTGCTTTAGTTTTGAATATAGACATATGTATACTTCATCCTGATTTTAATGGCCTAGCAGAATTCCGGTGTGACAGTAATGGCAGTCCCTTGCGTAGCCCGTTACCCATTACTTTGTGCTGTGATGGTCGCCCGATTCACTAATTCCGATGCTTTCGGGCTAACCCTAGCATATACCGGGTAGCTATAACATGGGACCCCAGATTTTGGTTCTACACTGTAGTACCACCAATCCTGTCACACCGGTGTCTATGTACATCAGCCTTCGCTTGCTCTCTCTCTACTACTGGAATAGTGTTTTTTTTTTCAAAATAACTCAAGCCGAGAGGTGGCCGAAACGTTAACGTTACGACCATAAAATTGCATCGTTGATTGTATTGTAAACGGGCTAGATATTCCACTTTAGTGTTGGTGTCATGATTTTTTCACAGGTGACTCATGTTTTAAAGAATTTAGTTTAAGTCCCATTTTCTTTTAGAGTAAAATAAATGGTTAATTTTAGTGGACTATACAGGTAGACCCCGGATCAAAGAGGGTTGAGGTTGTTAAACGTTTCTTTATCGTTTTAACGGGTACCGCTTGACCCAGAATACTGTAGAGAGACGAGTTAATACTATTTTACTTCTTTTTATTTTGATGTAAATTCTTCATTTACATGGATGATTTTTATTGGAGAGTTGCGTTTTGCTTATTATGATTTGGTAATGAATAACAGACACTTCAAATATGATGGACCAGAAATTGTTTGGAATCTGTTCATTCATTTTTCTATAACATGTACGAAACAATTTTTTTTCACTAACGGCAAAAAAGTGACTGGTGCTATTTCGCTTCCGATCGGATAGTTACACATATATTGGCGCTGTTCTTATAACGCGATATCTACATTTGATTGATGATCAAACTAGAAAAACACCATCGCTGCATGTCAAAGGACGTGCGCCACGCGTTGAACTTTGTTTCCTATCCAAACGTACCCTCTACCAGGACCACAAATTGATTTTTTCAACAGATATTCACAGATATGTCGCTGGTAAATTCATGGCACTTTTCTGCACTGTTAGAGAAAAGTGCACATAATTAATCTGCAGTCCTGGTAGCGGTTAATCCAAACTTCTAGTAGAATAAGGTTAATCAATAGATTTTATTGCGCCTAACGCACACCGTGAACCATACACTAAGCAGTAAATTTACGTGGGGCATCTATTCACTCTGAAATTGAAAATTTAATTTCAGCTCTCTACCTTTTCCTATTTCCGTCATTTAAAGCTAAGATTTTGTAATTTCATGTAATCAGAAATGTCAAAATCGTCAGGGACCGTTGCATGTAGCTAAGCAAGCTGGCGCTGTGCGTCATATTGGATTTTGATAGGTTTTTGTTGCAATTTATTACCAGCGTACTTGGTTTAATTTGTCGTAATAAGTGCTCTTATACTGCAAAAGAAGAAAAAGTACATCGCGAAAAAGCAAACAGCCACAAAAACTTTTACCTTGATTGAGAATATATACTTTATTGAATGATACAATGTACATTTCAGTTTTATATTATTTCTGCATTATTTCTACATATTTACATGTGTTAAAAGGAAAACGAGTTTCACAAGACGCAGGCTCCTTTTTTATATGACGTCTCTTCGAGTACCGATCAATTGGTAATAAAAAATAAGAGCCGAACTTATCATACATGTACACTGAATCGACTTACAACTAGTCTTCTTTTTTTAATCCCGTGATCGATCAACTATCGAATCAGTGACGGAGGGGCATTTGTAAAACGCATGTTTCACATATGCTTTTTATCTATGGAATAAACGTTTTTTGTCTGCCAGACATCTTCCGAATAAATATTTACTTGTCAAGTTTGGAGGCCTGAAGAGTTACATTAATGTATCGTAATTCCAGACGCATACACACTCCCATATGAGACCCACATATATATTTGAGGTAGCAGGTGCTCAAATTAAATAAGATCCATGTGGATGAATATTATTATTATGAGTAAAAAAAAATTATATTTTTGTAAATGTTAGGGGGTCACTAACAACCTAAGTAAAGTATCCCTTAACGTAAGTTGGGTATACATAATACGTGTCAACCTCTTATTGTGTATGCAAAATCCTTGCCAACCTATTTTTGCGTACATGAAATACTTTTCAATCTTTTATCCCGTGCACGACGTACACAAAATACGAGCATGGTAGTTGTAATCTAAACGGACTACAAGATAGAGCTGTAGAATCTTGTCATTTGATTGAGAGCATTGTCACAGATTCATGGAATGCTTTGACGTTTTGAATTGCTCAGCAAGTTTGTTTAAATCTAAAAACAAGAATAAGCGCCGGATGTTTTTATTTGAAAAAAAAAAGAGATAATTTTCTTGTTTTGTTTTTAAATGCTGCGGATCTTATTATTTCGTTTTAATAGGTTCTTCAGTCACAAGAGACCTTCTTCATCGCGATATCCTTACTCAAGACTACAACCGATACACGCAGCCTGTTCACAATGAAAGCGTGGCCCTTGAGGTGCTCGTGACAGCAGACTTGATGCAAATACTGAACTTGGTGAGTCAGTCTCTCCCTCTCTCTCTCTCTCTCTCTGGCGAACACACACACTCACACACACACGCACGCAGACAGACAGACAAAATCGCCTAAATCGAGCTCCCATCGACTTGAACCGATAATGTAGTTTTTTTACACCACTGGTACACTTAACTAAGAGTTTGCTAAAATGCTTTCACCACTAATATATTATATATGATGCGCGAATGCTTTGGGAGATGATAACCAATATTAACTACATACGTTTAGAACACGGCTCAAGTTGGCTTGTACTGCCCTGCTGTTGATATACATATAATCGATAACTTCCCCCATTTATGTGTCTGTATATTTCGCCTCAGTTAAAGTAAAGACGGCCTGAAGATGACCGTGCCCATCATATTCCTATGTAGACATTATCGATTATATAGAGCTAAGTGAACAAAACAAGATCTGCGATATGTTCTTAAGAGAATATTCTTATCAAAAATAAATTGGTTTTGGGTCAGAAAGAATGTTCCACAAAACACTAACAGGTTATTTGAAAATCGGTTCCATAACTTGCATCTTGCTATAGGTTCAGAGTATGATGCTTTGTATTTTATTTTACAGATTTAAATTCAAATTTTCAATTGGGGCGGTATTCTTATCACCTTAAGTGGCAGCGGCATGCCGTTGGTGTATAAATAAACTTGCTTACTATTTATAAACATCAAACAATGGGTCGATATAACATAATACGTACTACGTATTGCACATGTATCCCAGTTGGCAAAAGCTCCTTATCTCCATTCCGTCCGTCCAATGACCGCGTATTTACTGGTAGGTCATTTTACCTACAAATCGCCAGGGTAAACAAGGTCCAACTAAAAATACTAGAAAGTGGCCTGTTCCCAGAATGGCTTCCCGTGGTAATGATTTGGAATTACATTGTTTGTTTGGAGCGTACTTAGTTAAAGTTGTCATAAGTTCACTGGTAACACGCAATAAGACAACCGAACCCCATGACGATATAATTATCATACATGTATTTCATTAATCGTTTGGGCGTTATGATTTCCATAGAGCGTTTGCCTGCAGATCATTCTGGAAATAGCCAGTTTCAAATTTCCGGTTTTATCCCGTGACTTTCTAGCTTTATGGAATTCAGACATGATATATATGTCGGTATTTTCATCAACCTTTAAAAATTTCCCATTATTATAGTTTTATTATCTCTACAATGTACATTTGATTTGATAATTAGGTGGAAATACTAACTGTTTCTTTAACGTGATATTATTTAACTATCCAATCACTATGATAAATACATATGGTATGATATTTCTTATTTTAGTCTAGCTGTTTTCTTTAGTCCCCCTAAACACATTCAAAACACTAACCCGTTTTATAAACGGCAATTATCGTTTATGAGGCCTGTCAAAGTAACGTGTATCCCTGTATGTCTGGTCATTGTTTTTACAAATGCCCATATGTTATGTCTTCTCGCTTGCAGATAACATATCATTGATTTTTCTCACGGTCCAATATGGAGGACAAATGAAATTCACTAGTGCAGATGCACCGGAGCGTGCGCGCCCGTGCGCGCGCGCGCACACACGCACTCACACACACACACACACACAAGCACACTGGCAGAAATTTAGGTTTTTTTCAGGGCTGAGTTGGATGGTGGGAATGGGGTGTGTGACATAGCATATGGATAGAAACGTGTTCGCCCGGTCTGCCGCAAATACATTTATGTTCACGGCACAGGCAAACTTGAAAAAATTCAAGAAGATGATGCGCTCGTCAGCCCCGCTCAGTCTAGCAGTTAAGGGCCGGTTGTAGGCGGTATCCGCTGTTAAACAACCATTCCTCTGCCAAATCTCCTTTTCAAATACACAAATAGATTGAGCGAAGGATGCCGTATATTTTCAGAGAACCGACCCTTGGTTAATGTTCAAATACGAGTCCAGCTTCATTCATGATTTCTTCACTCTGAAACTCATTAAGACATCAATGAAATTAATTGCTGGGCTCAAATAATTCGAGACTCATTGTCTCTGTGATGTGATCGATGATATAAAGAGTGTCATTGAACCGGGTGGGAAAGCAAATCGCCACTAAGAGTTTTCAAATAAGAAAGTCAGTTAATGATGATTAAGCGCCTTCTGATTGCAGCTGTTCTTACTCTCAATTCAAAACAAATAAATTGTATCTATACATTGTCTAATCATTTTCAAAGTTTCCTATTAACCCACTGCACCTATATGTAATTTATCAATAATAATGTTTGGTGAAGTCTTATCTACAGGCCTCATAAACGATAATTGGCGTTTGCGATCTCGAGCCACGACTCAAACCGCGATTTCATGGCGCGAACGTAAAATTATTGGTCGCGAGCATGATATTAAAGAGCGCGAACAATTTGGTCAGCTTTCATTTGGGTCTCTTGCTGTTTACATAATTTGTTTCCTAAAACCCGAACTTTTTAAGTGCGACATACGTGAGTAATGTGCTGTCGGCATTTTCTGGCACATACAGAATGTACTGAACGGGTATGTAGGCAGGTTAACGGCTCACAATTTGCATCGAAGTGCTCGCTAATCACCTTTGTATGGACAAGGAAAGGTAGTCCCAGGTACGGAAGCCCGGGTAAAGCCCCCTTTACACTGGATGGCGTCCTTTCTGCGTCCAGCAGTACGGCCCCATTTGAGAGTTAAAAAATTATAATACTTTACGTGCCGACAGCTGGCCGATCATTGAGCATTCATTCTGATACAAAATCAATGCTCGTGCCTCCTTATTAAGACCACAGCAATGCCAAATTTCATGGTCGCAGAAAGGACGCAGAAAGGACGCCGTCCAGTGTCAAGGGGGTATAACAAAGTTCCTGGAAACAGACAACTTGTTCTAATTGGACTACTATTCCACGTAGTTTGGTCCAGGATTTACACCATACGCCGAACTTTATTCATTTCTTTTAGATTCAGGTGCTATCATAACATTAAATTCTCACGCGCGGTTTCAAAAACTAGTATCAGATATGCTGCTGCCATGTCTGAATTTCTCCCAAAGTCAGTCAGAGAGGTAACGGGAGAGCCCGTTGGTGGTTAATTATGTTGTTTTAATCTATCACGGAGAAGACCTCGGGGAATCTGGTTTTTATCTTCATGGAAATGAATTGTTAATTGACTCATTGTTATAATTTTCGATTTGCGTGTAATGTGTTATTTCAATTAAGCCTATGCTGAGAAAGAACCTGGCGTCGGCATTTTGAGTTACAGAAAAAATCCTTTCATCAATATAATCTAATTAAATGATAAGACTACAGTACAGGAGGCGTGTTCAGTATGCCCAAAATCTCTTTGTATCCTCTCAATGGTGTCCCAGCATTTGTATCCATTTGAATCCAAAGTTTATTTTTTTTCAGGACGAAGCCCACCAGGTGCTAACAACGCTTTTGTGGATCACCACGGTGAGTATATGTTTGTAGAATACCTTACATCCCAGTTGTCAAAATAGTACACGTTGGAGAAAAAACTACCTTTTTGTGTTAGAGATTTGCCAATAATTTCGTGTGACTCCTGTCCTTTGGAATATCTACTGCCAGCGGGGTATTAATTATAGATAGGTTTCTTATTAAATGTAAGAGATAAATGATGCGAAGATTGCACCGTTCTGTATCAGTGCATTGAGATTCTGATGCTTGTACATTCGTACGGTGACACAACCTGTTACAAGAATGCAATTAATATACTTCGATAAATAGGGATTAATTTTGCAGTTACATGTATCTGCTCATTTGATGTCACATTAATAGCTATCTAGAGTTATTGGTTATCGGCGAATGGTGCGCTTTTCTTATAATGAATGCAGATGAACGGTACAAGTCAATATTGAATTCATAAATATTTCTATTTGGTTGTATTTTACACATGTACCAAGCACATTAGAATTCAAGGTGTACATTGTACGTCAGAATTTCAATTTTGCTTTAATTTTTAAGAAATATGTGGACTATCGCCTGGCGTGGGACCCAGAGAAATATGACAACGTAACTGACATGTATTTACCTCAAAAGTCGCTATGGAAACCAGATCTTTACATTATCAACACGTGAGTATAATATTACAATTCAACGGGAGGACGTTTTTATCTGCTTATATCCTTTTATAGTTTCGATTTACGAGAGGCCTTTTAGAATCACAATTAATTAAGGAGAAGGAATTATCTGTGCAAGTGGGAGATCTTCCTATAAGGTGAGATTGGCTTGAAATAATGTATCTTGTACCTTCCACGGGTTGAACATGCTTCTTTGACGTCATTCGAAATCGATAAGTACTCCTCATTGCAAACACAGTTATCATCAAACGGCGATACATTTCTTGATATTTTTTCGCGATATTTGATTTTCAATTCGACAGTACACTAAAGATTTTTTGTATTTCGCTAAAAAGTCACATTCATACCTACCAGGTGCATGCACTTTCTTGACATTTTTGTCGCTGATTGCAATTGTTTGACCTCATATATTTTTATTGATCAAGGAGAAGCGGAGAAGTTGTTATCTAAATATAAACCTCTGGAATGAGATTATTCCAAAGGGTTACAATTTTGCACGACATTTACTCGTTGATTCTGCATATATTAATACCTAAACATATATCACATACAATTTGGCGGCAAAAATAACATTGTCAAATTTTTCATTCATCCTTTCTAAGTTGCTGGAGCGACCAAAGAGAACCACTTAATCAATTAAGTTGTAAGCTCAACAATACCCAGTAGATATGCCGAAATCTATTGTAAGGCACATTTTCTTAATTTGGCGGAAGATGGATTGTTTGAGGTAAATCCGTTAGAAAACCCCACAGAGCTTCTCTCATCCGAAACGCAATTTTGCGGCTTCATTAAATTATTATTCAGATACTATTTTTCATTGAATATAATATAATATATTTTAGCTTAAATGTTTTAGGGCACCCGTGCACTAGCGGATCAGTATGCATGAGGCTGGGGTGGGCTNAAGTTGCTGGAGCGACCAAAGAGAACCACTTAATCAATTAAGTTGTAAGCTCAACAATACCCAGTAGATATGCCGAAATCTATTGTAAGGCACATTTTCTTAATTTGGCGGAAGATGGATTGTTTGAGGTAAATCCGTTAGAAAACCCCACAGAGCTTCTCTCATCCGAAACGCAATTTTGCGGCTTCATTAAATTATTATTCAGATACTATTTTTCATTGAATATAATATAATATATTTTAGCTTAAATGTTTTAGGGCACCCGTGCACTAGCGGATCAGTATGCATGAGGCTGGGGTGGGCTGGGGGGGGGGGGGAGGGGACGCAAGGATAAAAGATTGCGAGGTAAAAGAGTAGCTTAGACCCATTTCCCAGATGTTAGATCGATCCAACTAGATCGACCTAACTCCCTGGTGGTTCACGCTAAATAGATGTCAGCCGAGCGGGCACGAAAGTTAATTATCCCCTTACAGCTTGTAGTAGGCGGGACGGACATTTAAGCCGGATTATCTGACAGTAATCTAGTGGGACTCCCCACGGGGATAGATCGATCTAAAATCTTTGGGAATGCACCCTTAGACGACGTCAGTTTTATTTTATAATGTATTGAACAAAAGGACCAGAAAATTTGATACCTTTCATTTATTGCAAGGAGAAAGGGGGGTATGCAAAGGAAACCGTTGCAGTTGAAGGAGGGGCGCCCTGAAACCCCACCCCCCCCCCCCCC